ATTTTTTTTCTATTATATATTGTAATACTGTATGGTTTATATATGCCATTTAACTTGTGGATATTTGAGTGGAAAATAAATCAAATCAAATCAAATCAAAGTAGCAAAAGAAGAAAAAAAATCGCTAGGTTTTATTATTAGCCAAAGAAGATTGACAAGGGGGCCCTTATTTGCCGACAGTTACGGATAAGGTGACAGACATTTTCAAGCGATGCCTCTTGATGTTTGCTTTTAAACTTCTTTTGGCTTATAAACATCATTCTACCTCGCAATCTATATTTTTTCTTGAAATATTTTGTCAGCTCGTGAGCTTTAAATCTGTCGTTATAATGTATGAATATACATCATGACGATACTCCATTGAATCATACACATTATTGAATCAATGGTGGTCTAATCCTTACTGGTGCCTACAAATTTGTATTTGCTTATTGCATAATTCTCTGAACCTCTGTTGACAAATTGTGAAATCAGAAAGCGTTGATTCCTATATTCAGAGAGTACACTAATTTGTCAAAGGACTATGCTTTGTGGGAGACACTGCAAATCAAACGAAATATTTCACGTAATAACATCACTTGGGATAAACCAACAGCCGACGGGCATGTGGACAACATATTGCAAATGAATGAAAACATCAAATACGGTCAAAAATGGGAAAATATCGTTTTCATTGGTTTGTTCTAAATATTTCGAAACGTAACACCGAATTCATTCGTAAATCTTTAGTAGGCTTAAATTTGATTTGTGTGTTTTTTTTTATTTCGCTTAGCCCCAACTATTGCAGCTGCAGATGATTTAGCCAGTAAGATGTATTTTGCTCTCACTACTGAATGTTTGTAAACCATATGAAATATTTCAGAAACATCTTACCGTATGATGAATTAAAGAAACAACATACTTTTGTTTATTTCTTGAAGTTCTCTTTTCCGTTCTGTATTGTGAACGGTTACCACTTCAATCTGTTGCTTTCTTTGCACGTTCGCCCGTTTGTCACACGTGTTATCTTGCACAAAACATAAGGCACCAACAATTAAGGAAAGGATTGCTTTGTGCTACGCAGTGGCTTTGCATAATTACTCACTATCGGTCTTGATTAGATCCATGACGACCCTTGTAATAACGGCATAGATTGATGTTGAACGGGAAACAGTCAAATGATATTGAAACCTTTCGTATATCTATCCCATGATAGATACGATGTGGCATATACAGAATTAAATGAATTGGTAGTCAACTATCGTGTGAAAATAATTACATTTAGAGGGAGACAAGAACAAACTTAAAGAGAAGAGTGTGGAAATTGCACCATAACTACCGCTGGGAATATCTATTTAATGGGCTATCAAAAAACACATTTCCTTGAATTATCAAAACAAGCATTTCAAAAGTCGGAAATACTACATGTATAAAGCGGTACATCGAGTAATATTTTGTTTGCATTATTATTCCGAAACACTGACATTACAGACGCAAGATAGTTCCACGTCTTCCGATATGTTTTGCTTGTATAAAATATGAGATAAACATCGTAATACAATTACAATATGTAATTCATGAACCGTATGACAAACATAGACTCGGAAGTGGAAGATTATTGGCAATAAAGCAAGTTCTAGAATTTCAATGAGGATGCAAGCTGAGTTATATTTACAATTTACTTCTTAACTCCAGCGTTACTCAACATGCTAAGGCACTCGTAACCTCGACATGTTGACGTCTAGACACAGAAAGAGGATCGGTAGAAGTGGGTCAGCAGTTCTGTACCTCCCACCTGCTTCTCTACCAGTAATAAGGTGTTTCAACTATCCTCATGATGTTTCCTCGCCGCATGCAGACAGGTGAATTTGCACGGAGGAATCACCAAAGATTAAAACAGTTTAAGTCGACCAAGTGGATGTTCAGAGGTCTTCAAAGACCAAACACTTTGTACGGTAGTTATGGATGTTGTGCAGGTGTGATGACATGTAATTGCATAAAATGTCGGGAAGGGGGGGGGGGGTGTATGGGCACATAAAGCACGTTCCCCCACACCATTTTATTAAATAAAATATGACTCCAAACACTTTAAAGAAATCATGTCCCAGGCACTTAATTTACACTTTTTCTAAAATCGTACAAGTTTTGATATGTTTTTACAAATATTTTATTAACTATCTCTTGTTTTAAGCATTGGTTTTAAAGTAGAAAGATAATAACACGCCCCCTTCCCGACATTCGTACTTGGTTAGGCTACTGGACACAACAGCATCCTGTAAGTTTCCAACTTTCTTATGCAGCAAATTATGGTTTTCGTTTCGTTTTAAGCTTTGTTTGTATTCTGTATGTGCTTTGTTATTACTTTGTTGGTAAGGGGAACCGCTGTGTTTTAATTATGCAATACACTGGCTTTTTAATGCAATTTCCCAAACACAGTTATACTATACATTACTGTTATGTCTTTGTATTTTCTAAAATTGATAGTTGAAACTATTTTTTTATAAATCAAATGAATAACCAGATGCCGAAACAAAAGAGGAGCATAACAGAAAATTACATGGTTACATGATGAAAACATATTTAAAATTATCTCCACATTCAAACAAATGATGAATTGTTTAGATGAAGTGATAATTTCGTTATGATATTTAACCAAATCGAATTTATATTTTAGTCCAAATGACATGTTCTTGTCAGTCAAAATTTGCTTTGAATCATGCCAATTTCATTATTCCTTAGAATGAGTTATGATTCATCGCCAAGGATGATGAAATGTGATACCATTGTGGCTTATGAAAAGAAAAGCAAAACACACTTTTTTCAATTGGAATGTGGTGACACGAAACTATAGATAGTCCTATTTTCTTATATTCCTGAACAGATCACAAACTGTGCAGTCGACCGCAACCTAAATGCCTTCGTATTTCGCTTTCTGAATTTTGAATGAATCTCTTGGATTTGGATCGTGTGCTCTTGCTATCAATTGCCATCGTGGGGTTCTGCTTTGTGGCTGAAAGACATAGCATGGTGCATTAGAAACAACTTTTGTGACGTCAAAATACTGTAATAATGCGACATGTAAGAAATACTTCCTGTCATTACCTGTCTGATTAGAAATAACAATGTATACCCTAATGAAAACATTATATATATATATATATATATATATATATATATATATATATATATATATCTCAATGTTATTAGGAAATAACATATACAACAGTTTTGACAACTCTTGCGGAAATAAAAACAATACATATAAATAAGGACATGAGAGATTAATGGTTGCGTGGCATACATAAAGATTCCTCTTTGCTGACCTGCATTTTTTAAATGTAAATTTTGGCAAATGTTGAAAAATATCTCCACCGGGAATCGAACCTGAGTCAATGGCTTAGAACGCCAATGCCTCAACAACTAGACAACAGAGACGGGCTAGTCGATTCGGCGACACCAGATTTAATCCACCAACGTTTCTCCCTCCCACTATGGAAGAGAATCTACCCCTCTGAACATTAAAAGCAAGAAACGTCACTGAGAGGAGAGGAGAACGAAAGAGTATTGAAAAAAGAAGTATGAATAAAACTGAGGTATCCATTTGGGGGATCCAGGTTTTATTCTTCGATCAAGTCCTACGAAAACATATGATTCCGTTATTTGTAATACTAAGTTGAAGATAACTTCTCTTGCTAAAGGTAGTATTCCTGTGAGATGGCTAGAATTAATTAAGTAAAAATAAAAACCCGGGACCCTATTGATAAAGACTTGAAATTTGCAGTAAGTTGTTTAGATGGATATCAAAACCTTAGTTAAATTCTTTATGTGAACATGACGAAGAGTTGCTTTTCATTCGATACAGTCCAATACAAAATACTGAAAAAGTAATGTGAAAACAGAATAAATCCATATGTACCATTACAAAAATACGATGGTAGACGTTTTGTTTTAAATATTTAATAAATTTACAGACAGGCAGGCAACCTTCTAAAATGATCTTTAACACATATCACAGATCCATTTCTTCAAGATTGTCCATCATCTCTGTCTGAAAAGGATAATAATTACGGCAAATTTTCTTCCACCACCGGACTACTGCATGCCATTCCCATTGACAAGTCAGAAGAGGGATACTACATCTAAAGTTTCTTTAGAAGATCATGTATCAGGGCGTGTCATGTGACCCATTTTATCTTCCATACCTCTGGATATTGTAAAGCTAGTCGTTCTTGTGAACCTACGTGCCTATGGGCGGGTAAGAATGGCGTCCCGCAGGGTTCGGTATGCCATAGGAACATGGTCTTGTAAAGTTTTCCTTGTTGGCTCTAATGATGGTTATGTGAGGTGTGTGATTGGGACGTTCCCTGAAGGCTTCATTGGCTCTTTGACGATTCTGATTGAAATGGCTTTGTTTGATTAAGGTTCTATTAAAGACTGGGTATTGCTATTTATTATGGTTAGTTGAATGGTATCATACACGTCTAAGCCCGAATAAAAACATTGTCTGTTAATCCTCAATCCGTGTACGATGTCATCCATACGATGTCTATAACTGAGCTAATAGTCATAAAGACACAATATAAAAATATTTTTAAATTCCATTTTTAAATGTGATTTACAAAAAATGCAGTCATTTCACAGACAATTTTAGGAGTTGTGTTCTGTCATCACCACATTTAAGTCTAGAAATTCATTGCAAATTTGACTTTTAATAACCTTCATGATACAAATTTCAAAATTGTCATGAGGTATTGTTTTAAGGAAATGTCAGCTTTTAATTTGTATTGTATGGCAGATATAGACTAATGCTATATTGTTTGTGGATAGGAATAGAAAATAGGAGGTGGTAGAAAAAATGCATTGAAATTATTTTAAAGGGTTTATAAGAACATATAGGAAAGTGAGAGGTAACAGAGAGAGGGTGAGATAGATAGAACAAGCGAGAAAGGGGAGAGAAGAGAAGAGAAAAAGAAGAAGAAAGAGAGGGGGTTGGGGAGGAGGAGGGGAGAAAAAAGGGAAATCATATCGGGCATTTATGGCTTTTCTTCATCTTGTCTCTTACTAATTCTGCTTCCCACGTATATGATATTAAATTGTATCGTCTCAAATGTTTTACTCTCTTTTCTAATTTCCGATTCAATACTCCATTGGTCTGCATCTCTTCTTTTCTTAGTTTATCCGTCCATTCAAAACGCATGATTCTTGTCACCTCTCTCCCCTCTTCCTCGAACCCATACCGTGAGCAACAAGCCATGACCCCGGCCCAACCTGGACCGGTACCGGATATATTTAGACCGGTTGGCAGAGCAGACCAGGCGGCATTCAGCTGACGCTCTTGAAAGCAGGACGTCCACACTAGGAACCTCTCCTTCCATCGTCTACCATCTCCACGGGCTACCAACAAACTTCATCAGCAAAAGCATCTATCCACCTCTTCTTTTCTGGCAACCCTCCCATACGCACTCGCCCGGCTCTCGCAGATAACGGGCATGCGAGCGCATTCAAAAGCCAAACACCGTCACAGTTCGACGTTATCGCATTGACGAAGGAGCAGCGTTACATGAATGTTCGATTTTGGACTTCTTCCCATTTTTGTTTTTAGATGGCCAAATATACTTGATTTTGAGCAGAAGACGTACAATTTGCCGGAGAGAATCTTTGAAACCAGTGCGTTGTGACAAGTAAAAGGAATTTATAAGGGTTTGGCTTTTTAAAAAAGTGAGGGAATTTTTCAACGGCACGGTAAGTCACATCTTGAACCCTTTTTTAAAACACTTTATTATAATACTTATATTTTTTTTAATAACAATTGATGAAATGTAACTCACAGATAAAGTGTATGTTAACAACCCTGCAAACCATTCCTATACAGTATCATATCTCTGAGGAATTCTCCTCATCAATAGACAAACATTGAATTGTTGATTTCAGTTATAACTTTGTTCAATTTCTTTTGACTGATAGCTTTCTTTGGAAAACGGAGAAGTCCCATAAGTACACCTAATAAGAGTTGTCAAATTTAGCGAGAATTACTCATACATTACAAATTTATGCTCATTCAAAACAATCTGCGACGCGCATCATCCTACGCCATTCTCATTTCCGAAATAAGTTAACAAGTCTGAATAGTCTACTCACTTAAAAATATTCGAATAAAATTGGGCTATCACTGAAGTGTTAATCTTCCATTTTCATAAGATAGCATGTAGTATCGTTATTATGCTCTCTGGCGTCATCATTATTATTAATCTATATATTATTCATGACATGAAAAGTGCTGTTCGTTTCCTGCTTTGGAGAATGACGTCAGTCGGTGCTATTGACGAAGGGCCAAATTGCTTGCAGATAATGCTATTTCTTCTTTCGACGCACCTAGATGACTTACATATATATATATATATATATATATATATATATACAACTTCCACAACATTAGTCAACTGAGGCTTCATAAAACACATGTGCCCAGTCTAGTCTAGGGTTTTGTAAATCTTGACCGAGTAGCCTATAGGTTGAAGTAGTCTAGGACCCCGAGGCTATTGGACAGGGTAGTTTGTGACTAACAAGAGGCACGCGAAACACTCACCAAACAAATTAACTTTCTCAGACTTTCTGCTGAAACTTCTGTGTCAAAATAGAAATGTTTTGCGCTCTATGCACAGATACTCTTGAATGTTTCTACGCGAAGAAGCCCATCCAAATCTGCTGTTTGATGATCGAAGAAACGTTTAGTTGTTTCGTAATGTAATGCTCAATTGACCTTAAATGCATAGCAAGAGGAATACAAAATTGAACGTTTTTATTCTCTCCATATACTCACATAAAGTATATTGTCGCCTCCAAATATTATTGTTGTATCTTTGATAATGTAGTGTAAAAATATTGATGAATATCACATAGACGTTATAATTATCTTGATGAAGTAGTGCAACAGTCCAGTCATATGAGGCTTGTGAATATGATACATTTTGCTTGATGCAAAAAAAAAAACATACTTTCGATAAGGCCAGAGAAAGATAATTGTAACTTTCCACTAATTGATTTATAAATAATTGGTCAACAGTTCTTCACACACAGTTATACATGTATATACATGATGCCACTAAATATCAATGACAGATGAATTTAAATGGCAGATAATGCAGTGGATATTTATATCAGATGAATGTATAGCATTAATAAGTTCTAATCTATCTATGAAGCTGTAGGGAGAACGTCCCCACCTTGACCCAACGTCTGTCTGTTTTTTTTTAACCCCCTCCAGATGCAGTTCGGCACGTGTTCCATCGCCTTCCTTCTGATGCTATCCGTGACGTCATCGCAGATACCAGTCTCTATGGGCGTCGGTATGTAAATCATTCATCTTCGGCGTAGCCAAACCCCTCCCCATCCCCCAGAAAAACTAATAGAGAAACAATATTTCTTTGTTTGGTTGGCAGAAGGGCGTAAGCGCGTTGCTTGCACTTAACATGGAGGCACACTATGTTGTAATATGAAGAACCGCTGGTAGCAATCAAATATCCTTAACTTTAACTATGCGCTTATGAAACGAAACTACTGGTATGAGGATGCTACCATCTATTTTCACTTGCCATGTAGAAAAAGGTATAACATGAGCAGAACCATAGTATCAAGTAACTAGAAACTTATGGCATTTGCTAATGTCCTTCTGCCAGTCAGACGAGGATTGGTCATATAACATGCTACTGTATAGATCTCAATAAGATCGTATATTTAAATGTACGCAGAGTGTCAGTTTTCAAACTTGAGACTCAAGATAGACATCGATGTAAATTGGTTTTGATGTTAGGATCAGATGTTGTCTTAACGAAAGCTTCAGTCTCTGATATCGACGGTTGTTCCGCTAGGTGGGGGTGTTTGACCTCCTATTCAAAATGAGTTCTCTGGCCAGGGAGATGGAGAATTTTTCAATAAGCATTCTAAAGAAGATAATCTCTCGAAAGAATGTTTTTTGAACGCATTGAATATTACTTAAGAAAATAATGACAAATACATATATTCCCTTCTACTTCATACTACATTTAATTGTATTTCGTCGTGATTTATTGCGATAATGTAATTAGATGCCGATTTTCTATCAATTTAAAAGTGAAAGAAATAACTAATGGCTCGTCACAAGTTTAGCAGTTCCATAATTACGTAAAAAATACGGAAAGGATTTCCCTTAGATCGAGGACTTAAGGGATTTATAATTCTATAAATCGTTACGCCCAACATAACCATAATAATTATGATACTAGATTAGTGAAATGAAACTTCAAGCATCTTATGTGGCATCTCAAGTAAATTACATCCCCCAGTGGTCTATGCTCAGCTCTTTCCCAGGCACGCACTTGTACCGCCCTATGCTAAGGTGCAAAGTGGATAACGAATCAAATCAAATGACATTTGACGAAACGAGGGCGGTAGGTGCAAAATTAGCCACCCTGACTAAGGGAAATTTAGTACCTATCTCACTAAAGCACGTCACTGCTAATATACTCTTGTCCCAGCGGAAATAGTGAGAATAATTTATCAATCAAATGAAATTTGACGAAACAAAGGTGATAAGTCTGAAAGAATCCAAAGTGACCACTGAAGATCAATTTGCTCCTTCGATTGTTTTTTAAAATAATCATTCCACCAGGAACACCCAAGGTACAATAATGGGATAGGAAATGAAATGTTATGACTTGAGAGAATAATTCTGAAGAAAAAAAACTGGCCACAGGAAATCAATTTCTTCCTATTATATCCTTTATGAACACCATCAAGTTGTCTACCCCCACACCCCAGGTATGATTAATAGGATAACAGATTAATCAAAATAAAGTACATGGAATTAGGGTCCTATGAACGATACTGACCACTAGGAGTTAATTCCCTCCTGTAAAGTTCATTAGTTATTTCCTCACATTCTTTCTTCTTCACCCTATGGACAATAAAATATTACTTGATTAATCAAGTGATCGTTTAAAGACGAGGGGTCAAACCAGATGGTCGAATATTAATAAAACTGTTGAATTTTGGCCATCGAACTTGAGTGACCTTTGGCTGATGGTCAACTACAATTAAGCTACCCTGTGGCGCCTCAACAGACCTTGTAGACATTTTTGCGGTTCTTTGTGACTTTAATTGACTAATCGGCGTCCATCTGTGAACAAACCCATGGAGCTTTACTCTCGGAAATTCCTAATTTCTTTAGAGGACACATTCCTGGTGAAGTTATCTCTAGCCTTTCTCTTACTGATACAAATGAGGATACAAAAATAAACCGTTTCTAAGCTTGTCACCAGATCTCATATCTTCCCTGATAACTGCGTTGTTTAAAAACGTCGAGAACATTCTAACACAGGTATATGGGGTGTCGTTTGGGGTTTTCTAGAAAAGCATTATTTCTTGTCATCGATCTTGGCAAAAATGCAATTTCGGTGTGCATTCCTAGATGTACCGCATTATCCTCAGTTATGTTCATGGAAATTCCATCCTCGTCCGTTTTCTTTTGTTTCTCTTAAAGACACCACCTTTCACAGAGTTATGCGTAAGGTCATGTCTCGATCCTCCGACTCGTGTTCCATTCTGCATCGATTTGTATGTTGGTCGCGCCTCAGGCGCAGCATGAGATGAAATTGGACATGACAGCGAAAATTACTTGTTAAATCTTGGCGAAGGATAAACAAGGCTCGAAACAGGCTGAATGACAATAACGTGCGCTCAGCTGACGCGATCATGCAGTGCTTGTGGCTATTCGATGCGCAGTAATGACAATAAAGACATTTTCCACGAGGCTGATGATGCCTTTAATGGCCGACACTCACAGTGTTATACAGCTGAAATCATTTCATGAATGGTAAAATATAAAAATGAATTGATAGAAATAATGGGAAACTATATAATAATCTTTGCTTTACAAACGAAGAAGGTACATCGCCAGTGGTTTTGTTTGTTAATTGTAACTGTTACCTCATACTTATTTGGAGTATTACCCTTCAAATAAGGGCTACTTCTTAAATTTGTGATTTAAATACATAGGCCTATTCATTTTGCGATGATAAGCGCTATATGTTGCAAATGAATAGCAAAGGACTGAGGACACTATCCATGGGAATTCCTTAAGGTATTGCATAACAATGTGAATCAGTAATTTTGTCAATGGATAGGACTATAGTTGACGAAGAAGAGGTTATCCATAGCGTTATGAATTATCTGAAGATACATACATAAGTTGAGGGGTTTGTTGTATAAACGGATCACAGACGCAGAGATATCATTCATAAAACATCTTTCTCCAAATTTGAGTTGAAGTAATTGCTGTTGATATTTTAATGCCTTAAATTAAGGTTGACGTTAAAACATTTGTTAGTGTTCTTTCGCACTTTTAATGTTCCACTTATCCTGTAATGCCAATCAAGATATTCCATATCATATCACTCATATGAGGCACAGATAGGGGAACAGAATATCCCAGTTCAGGTTAATAGCCTGGCCTAGATCACTTGGAGAAAACACTGATTCCCACCCAAGGAGAGTCTCTCTTTCCTTTCCTTTCATTTAATTTGTATGGCCATGACATGATGCAAGAAACCGCAACCTGGTATCCTCCAAACAGAGCCGCTGTGGAAATCCATTGGAGATGCTGCGCCGCTATCGGAGACTGTACATTAACCCCGCAGGAGCAATCAAGGTTCATATGGGCGGACCCGATCGAAAATTAAAATTGCATGCGCCGATATCTTTCTTGCGCTATATTCTACGCGAAAGCCATAAGTGCGATCATATGTAATCTACATCAAAACTTTCCCCCTAAAGATGCGAGATATGTGTGATTTATAGAAATCCACTCCACATTATATCACATGAAGTAAAAGTGCTATGATAAAGACAACATGGCCGCCAGGTTGACTGTAGTATAGTTTGCAATTCAAATATCACTATGGTACAACTTTAAAGTTAAACAAAAATATTTACATGGAATGATAAATAAACTTAAAATTTGTCGACATTGTTCACAATTGCACTGTATATATGCATCCAAGGTAAGTCTGCCGTTGAGGGTGTTTCAAGTCACCGCATTAAGACAGGGATTGTCAATATGGTCACCTATCGCCTTAAGGCGTGTATTTTGAAACCTAAAGCTCAATCAACTTGTTTGTAGACGTTTTACACCTTTTGAAACAAGTCTTTCTTGAATTTCCTAGATAATAATGGTCATGCTGGAGGTTCTAGTATGAACCATTTACTTTTCAGTGCAATCTTTCTTTATCAGGCCCATTTACAAATAGCCTCCCTGTTTAAGTTTGAAAGTGTCCCCATTTTGACAGGGAATGGGTTGAGCACGAGTTCATTTGTATTTATTCCATTTTATGGTGATATTTTGATGATCCCCATCAGTAATCTGTTAGCTCTAATTGCCCGTTTATCCTGCCTAAGTTTAGTCATAATGCTAATAGTTTCGAATAATCTTGAATAGACAAGTTTTTATAGGTGTTCTGAGACTTGGGTTTTTTCATTGCATTGACATGAAGCGATCAGTTGTATCCTATATAAATACTCTAAATTACATGATTTTCGTGAGCTTTGAATTTTTATGATATATAGCTTGACCCCAATTAAAATGTCATTCACGTGGTATATATGCTTCTCAATGAGCATGCTCAATCTCGAATATGAGACGCAATGTCACACGTGTGTGATTCCGTTACAAAAGCACTCCAAATAATTGATGTTGTCACAAAAGCAACTTCACAATGTCATTTTGTCACGAAATCAATCTCACAAAGTGGTTGGTCCACAGAATGACTCGCGGGTTGGATTCCGTGACAAAATCACTCTGTGAGATTGATTTCGTGACGGTGTCAGTCCGTAACATTCATGTCATGACAAAATCACATCGTAAAATTGCTTTTGTGAAGAAAAATAAATCAATTATTTGGAGTGATTTTGTGACAGAAGCACATGAGTGTTTTATGGCGCCCCCTCCCCTCGACCAGCACGGTTTGACGTTACATCAAATCAAATCTCCAACTCCACGTAACCATAACTTAAAGATTTTCATGGATTGTAAGTACTCTATTATGCCTTTAAGAACAAAAGAGACTTTATAAGAGACCCAAAAGGTGCCTCGACTTTGCGAGGCGGGAACCAGTGAACTCGGTTTGACCTGGGTGGATCCTGGGTGGAACCAAATTGTCTGCTAAATTGTCCTTGTCTGGTCTCTGTTCATTTACCTGGTAACAGGACACCATTGGTGGCACCGCATAGCGCCATACCGCGTCTTATTAGCCTCTTGTCAAGATTATATATTCAAAACCTTCTTTCTTTTCATGATTTGTTATAGAAAATTCACTGTATTTCACTTTTTTGCAACTAAAAAGTATATTTTGTATCTCTTAATGTGAAGGAAAGCGGCTCATTGCAATATTCTATTTTAAAATTTTTAAGTTTATTTCAGTAAAAAGTATAACCTTCCGTTAATGAGTGATCAAATCGAACATCTGTATTTACAGCAAATGCCTTTTGGATCAAACTGTACAAACCTTTTTTGGAAAAGCTCTGTGATTTGGGCGATTAAAACTATTTGTTTTCTATTTTATTCTGAAAAAAGGGTTTGTTACATATGTGCAATTAAGAACTCAAAGATTGCGTAACATTTTCCAGACAAACCGAAATTGTCATGTACAACCGCTTGACTGCGGGATATTGCAATTTTTCATTAAGACACGACACGACAATCTAAGGTAGAAATTACTTAAATATTTCTTTGAAAGTCGATTCAAAAGAAATAGCGATATTGGTAATCATGATACTCCATACTGACAATAATTATCACGAAAAGAAAGAGGCTTGGAAAAAGTCTAGACAGTCACAGCTAGCCATCAAATGGCACTGGTTAGTTTGTAATAGAATATTTTCAACGTTTATTACATTATATCTAGACCCTTACCTCTGCCAAGCTACAAGGTGATACACGTTACAAAAGAAACAAGTCGGGAGAGAAGAAAGAGACAAAGATATTATAAAGACGGATGAGAGAACTGCGGCAAGGAAGTTGAAGATCGTGTTTGTTGCTATAGCACTGACACGGATGTGTGACGCAGATTATGTTTGAAAGCAGAGTGGGGTGGCGCAAAGCTGTCGTAAGGGACACACCCTAATTTGACTAAAGAAATAAGGTCTGAGAGAAAATATTACTAGAACCCACCGAGAAGTTTTACTAATGTGTGTGCATAAAATTAAAGAGCCATGTTTTAAGCGGATGGGCAGGGCAAGGCAGGCATAACATACTCAAGCTATAACATACCCTATATATGACTACAAAAGAGAAATCGTGGGGACGGGAACGTTTTGCTTTTTGGCAAATGTTCAACCAGCGAGAAAGAATGTTGCATCATATTTCTTAGAACAATGCCCGAGCATCGACAAATATATGAGCCCTGTGCGATTTACCTCAATATGTTTTCGAAAACATTCCCCAAACTGTACAAAGCTAATTCAATAATCTAATAATAAGAGTGCATCAAAATGTCAAGTATTATAGAGTGGAACAGATTTTTTTCTTTTAAATCAAATCATGAAAAAATGCTGAAATGACATTCCAGCTTGTCGATAAACAAGAACTAAATTGCCGCCTATTCTCACGATTTATTAAGATAGTTTTATGTGTATAAACAATAAATGTTATGCGACTTTAGTATTAAACGTTGTTCAGATTTAAGAGTATTAGCTTTACATTCTTGTCAAAACTTGCAATACAGTCATATTTTGAGTAGATGTGGTAAATATACCCGAATAAACAAGAGGCGATCTTCTTAAACTAAGAAGAAGGAGGAGTGGGAGGAGGATAAGAAGAAGATACAGTAGAAATAGACAAAGAAGAAGCAACAATAAAAAAGAAGAAGAAGACGAAGACTGTAGTAGAAGGAGGAGAAGAAGAAGGAGGAGGAGGAGAGGGAGAGGGTAAAGAAGAAATAAAAGAAGAAGAAGAAAAAAGAAGAAGAGGGAAAACACGAAGGAAAGAAGATAGCGATAATAAAGACGGTGCTAAAGAAGAAGAAAGAATTGACTAGAAGAACAAAGAGACGACAAAGATAAAGAAAGAGGAGAAGAAATATTTGAATTCAATTCAATCAAAATATTAATAAATCGTATCGGAAGGAGGTGTCATAAAAGTGCAATGACCGTTAACTAGGTTCGGCGGTTGAGACAACGTGGTCATGGTGGTTTTTCAAACTCATCGGGCGGCGGCTAAAAATGGACATATTCGCCAAGAAATCTGGTTCAAATTTATCCTAAAACTGGTTTATCAGCCACAAATAAGCCTTTGTTTCAGTGATATCGCCACCAGAACCTGGAAGAACTAGGAAATTCAAAAGAATGACACTGTCTAGCAGTCCAGAGGTTGGTTCTCGATGAGGAATACAAGATGTTGGTTTTGATATTTTTTTTATCTCACAGATATGAAAACAGATATATGCTTGCAAATATTAAGAGGACCTACAGCTTCCTATTAGGGGAAAGTTTTATTGAGGACTAAACCGTCATCAAAGGTCACAAGTTTATCCCCCGGGTTTCGAACCCTGAACTTCTCATTAGCAAAACCACTGATCTACCATCGATTCAACGCCCTTACGATTAGTTTGTGAAAGACAGTCGTGACAAGCCTATGTTTCGGAATTTGCCCGAGTTAGATGTATATCTAGGTCGTACTGTGGTTTTGTCTTTACATGCCATATAAAATTATCTATATTATAGCCATATCTACTAATTTGATCAACGGGGTTCAGAGGTACTACCGAATCTGGGTATTGAAACAACACAAGGAGTAATCGATATTTCGGCCATGCCAAAACAAGCTTAGGATTAGTTTTTGAATAATGACAGGCGAACTATTATATTAATAACCTAGATACTATAGTGTGCCCGAGTTAAATGTAGGTCAAAATAGAATGACCGTTCCTACTGAAAAACACAGATCTGTCAGATTGGTTGACATGAAATGGGTTTAACATGATGCCGCAGCATTTTTAAACGTAATGTATCTTAATCTAAGAAATTAAAAAGACAAAGAAATTCTATGTATTGAGTAACACATCCAGTATCGCGTTAGTAAGTAGACTTGACGAGTTCGAAATGTAAGATATGTTGGTCTAATTCTGACTTTGACATACTTTTTCGAAAGCCTCAATTTGTGAATACTTTTACTTGTTTCTCTCCGGAGAGTGTCAGATCTATTTAAGAGAATGTTGCGTCATGTTGATCTAATCTTAGAAGACAGTCGAGCAACTATCAAGTTATCCATTGATATCGAGAGACACAGAGGCAGTGAATAATAAAGAGACATGCGTGAAAGTAGGCTGGCTGTGGCTCAGTTAATAAATATTTGTACAATATACTTTTTAAAAATGTTTACAACTTGCAGATGGTTTAATTTGTGTAAAGGTGGTTGCAACCACAATTTAAAGATGGAATAAATTTGGAATTATTTTCGGCACTTTAATGATAGCTTAGGGTTATTCATTTACGTAGGCTGGCTGTGGCTCAGTTAATGTATATTTTTACAATATACTTGTTAAAAGTGTTTACAATTTGCAGATGGTTTTATTTTTGTAAAGGTGGTTGCAACCACAATGTAAAGATGGAATAAATTTGGATTTTTTTTCGGCACTTTAATGATAGCTTAGGGCTATTCATTTACGACTTTTCCTTTAAGCATTGATAGCCACATTACAGATAAATTTATTACCATTAATAACATTTGGTTCATGATGTACAGAATTTTACGAATTCTTCATGTACAGCTATCTTATTGTCACATCAGTTCTGGAGAAGAAATCATTTGTACTACACAACAATAAGATGTAGGTTTATTTGAATTGATGATATCATTACATCTAAGCTACACATTAAATTTTTATCATGAATAATACCTTATTTATCTCGTACAGAAGCGGATCTTTTCGACGGCTTCGGCATCTACAACTCCCGAATCCCCGGGGTCTCACCCGCCCCGCAGGAGAACTCTAACATCTACGGCGATGCCTTCTTCTTCAACGGCATAAGCATTCGTTATCCCATCATCGCCAACCAAGAATTCTTCAAGAAGTTCGCTAAGGAGATGCGGAAGAATGAGGATGTATACTTCGTGATTCGATCACGGCTTGCTCCTCGGCATCATGGAGTCTTATTCGGAGTGTACTCGAGTAATTACTACTCACAGGACACCTTCAGAACGCCACTTAGGTTTGAGCTGTCCTACAATGGCACAAATGGAGGAAAATGTAAGCCTATATTACTCGTACTGAATATCAGATGATTATCTTTAGGTTCAGTGATTAAGATTATTCGCAAAAACCCTTTAAACCTAGTTGGGGGCATTGCCTGAATTATTAACCGTGATGAGAAATATAAAAATTACAAATATACCTGTTCCGCTATGTCAGTGGAAATTTACTCATTTTTATAACAATATATACAAATATGTAAGCTACTTAGTTACAAAGAGAATTTGTTAAAATGGTACATCATCTGATGTGAAAGTGTCCTTTGTTTTAATTCAGTGCAAATTGAACCCGATTATTTTAATATTCTTTAGAATATCTCAACTCTAAATGGCAGAATTCCAGTACTAGTTTTAGCGGGGTGAATAAGCTCTTCTGATGCCCGTGGAGACATTATCATGATTATATCATAATACTGAGATGTGCCAAAAAACAGGAGCGAAATAGTATTATTGCTACTAGAATCCTCACATGTATCTATGTCATTTTCGTCGTCACAGTGGTCCTCAAATACCGCGTCGGAGATCAGCAACGCCAGGCGGAGTTCCCCAACCTCCTCGTGGTTGACGGTGATTGGCACACCATTATCCTCCAGTTCCACACCGAACGATCCAGCACGACCCTCACACTCTATGTCGACTGCCGGCTCGCTAATCAGATGAAGATAGGGGATAAGTTATCCAGGGTCTTCTCTCGAACGGTGATCGACGGTTCAGAGATGAGGCTGGGTCAGGCTGGTTACGGCATGACTGCAAACCCACTGAAGGTAAAACAGAAACTGCAGAGATCATAATATTTGTCTTGATACCTAGATAATTCAAATTCAATTCAATTCAAATTCAAATGAGGTTTTATTCACGACTTGTCAAAAAGTCCAAAGACTAAAAATGGAAGTTTACATCAAACATACAATAATATTTTTAAAAAGCATTCAAAAAAATATATTTATATATAAAGAAAACATAGTAAATGGGGAAAAATATATATGAATAAATGTTTGCATCAAAACATCAAAGCGGTATCCAAAAAAAGAAAGAAACAAAAAACGATATAAAATATTCCTAGCAAAATTGAGTAAATGTTTAAATCAAAACAAATAAAATAAAATATATACAGATACGGGAATACAATTAACTGTAACGTGGTAAAAACTGCGATAAAGTTAATACAGAAGGTTTTGAAGAGAAATTGTTGTTAAAGTCTTTTATTAAGTTTTCATCAAATATTCACCATAGGGTTTCAACATTTTTCCTTATGAAATTTATAGTGCTCTTATTACATCATAATTGGCATACTTACACGTACCACACACCACCAAACCCACCGTTTCTTAGCCATTGGGGGTAATGTAAATTTACAATTGGTCTGGTGTCGGTCTCGACGGTGTGACTGAAGTATCAATAATAAATGTCCCATTCTATTGCTTTATAGCTTACCTTTTAAGACAGCAATCCTCAATCCTCAATATATGAATCTTTAGAAGTGAAGTTCGTGAGTTTGCCAGAGCATTTCTCTGTACATACATAGTTTAGCTCTTGCATGACTATTTATGTTGGAGTATCATCATACTAATAATGTGGTAACACCGTGTGGGAGCCTCTGCAAGACGAAACGCTACAAGAGATCAGCGCTAACTTTTTAAACAATGGAATAAATAAAAAATATCACCTTCTTTTTCAGGGTACGATTCAGAATGTTAGGTTCATGTATGGAGGTCCAATAGGAGATGTGCTCCACTCACTCTCATGCAGTCTGTCTACGGAACCTAAGCCACTTGATGCTGATGGATGTAAGCTAAATTCCAAATATTAGTATTTTTAACCCTCTTCTGTCCTTATAATGTTTAATTAATAAAAATCATAATACAACATATAGGCCTACCAAATGTGTCCAAAGTAATAAACCTTGCGCTATTCATCATGAAATGTATTGTTTTGTACTATTTTTTTTTTCGTCGGGCGTAAATTTCCCGAATTTAAAAAGGACCTATATTGATCGGACCCTCATAATCATTTGTATGTATACTGGCCAAGAAGGTACACTCCATAACGCAGCAAAGCAAATTACACATATGATACTGTTATCAGAAAAATGTGCTATATTTTGCTTGAATGAAGATGTTATTACGTCAGCTATTATCCCATCGTGCATTGAAGCCTAACGTCCATTTACCCTAATGCCCAGTTACGGGATAAGACTCTAAATATCAAATTTATACAAACTATTTTTAGTTTAATCGATATTTTCATTTTGTTCAAGGGCCTGGAGCGACTATTTTGATGGACGCCTTTCAATCCTTGTCTAGTACACTCATGGTCTTGAAAAACGGCATGGATGACCAGGTAAGTCAATCGGTGAAAGAAAGGACTGGACTTCTACGTCTCCGTTACAATAATCTATTTGAGTTCGATATCTTTCTCATATCCTTCTCTAGACAATATAATGCTTTGCGTCGCTTCTCTAGGAAGGACAAGCACATATCAAGACAAATCTAATATCTCCGTCGCACTCATCTAGACGAGTCTAATATCTTCGTCACAATCATCCAGAGGAGTCTAATATCTTCGTAACACTAATCCAGACGAATCTAATATATTCGTCACACTCATCTAGACGAGTCTAATATTCTTGTTACTCTCATCTAGAGGAGGCTAATATCTTGGTCGCACTATCAGGGAGTCTAATATCATCGTCACATATACATGTATCTAGGAGTGTCTAATATTTCCGTCACAATCATCTAGACGAGTCTTATATTTTTGTCTGTATCTAGACGAATCGAATATCTTCGTCACATTTATCTAGACGAATCGAATATGTTCGTCTCACTCATCTAGACGAGTCTAATATTTTCGTCACACTCATAGAGACGAGTCTAATATTTGTGTCTGTATCTAGACGAATCGAATATGTTCGTCACACTCATATAGACGAGTCTAATATCTTCGTCACACTCATCCAGACGAGTCTACTATCTTCGTCACACTCATCTAGCCGAGTCTAATATCTTCGTCACACTCATCCAGACGAGTCTAATATCTTCGTCACCCTTATCCAGACGAGTCAAATATCTCCGTCACACTCATTCAGACGAGTCTAATATCTTCGTCACACTCATCCAGACGAGTCTAATATCTTCGTCACACTCATCTAGACAAGTCTAATATCTTCGTCACTCTCATCTAGACAAGTCTAATATCTTCGTCACTCTCATCCAGACTAGTCAAATATCTTCGTCACACTCATTCAGACGAGTCTAATATCTTCGTTACACTCATCCAGACGAGTCTACTATCTTTGTCACACTCATCTAGACGAGTCTAATATCTTCGTCACTCTCATCCAGACTAGACAAATATCTTCGTCACACTCATCTAGACGAGTCTAATATCTTCGTCACACTCATCTAGACGAGTCTAATATCTTCGTCACACTCATCCAGACGAGTCTAATATCTTCGTCACACTCATCTAGACGAGTCTAATATCTTCGTCACATTCATCTAGACAAGTCTAATATCTTCGTCACTCTCATCTAGACAAGTCTAATATCTTCGTCACTCTCATCCAGACTAGTCAAATATCTCCGTCACTCTCATCCAGACTAGTCAAATATCTTCGTCACACTCATTCAGACGAGTCGAATATCTTCGTCACACTCATCCAGACTAATCTACTATCTTTGTCACACTCATCTAGACGAGTCTAATATCTTCGTCACTCTCATCCAGACTAGTCAAATAGCTCCGTCACACTCATTCAGACGAGTCTAATATCTTCGTCACACTCATCCAGACGAGTCTAATATCTTCGTCACACTCATCTAGACGAGTCTAATATCTTCGTCACATTCATGTAGACGAGTCTCGCCTTGATGTGTCTAATTTCTTCCCTACACTCAACTTGACAAGCTTGATGTCTTCGTCACATCGATCTAGATGACTCTAATGTATTCATGTCATCTATCTGGTCGAATCTACAATCTTTGCCACATGTAGTTAAGGACAAACTTATATTAAGCTCATAACAGATGTGATCCAAGTTCAGTTCTTTACTTTCTACCTTTCACTCACTTTTCTCCCTTTCCAACAGACCCGTGAGATCCGACATCTAAGGAATACCCTCGAAAACTGCAGAATGTGTGGTAAGTATTTAATAATTGTTTCTCTGTACAGTTAATGATTATGATTACTTTTATCAAACATACTTACACGATGCAATTTCTTCGTACGTGAACAAAAGTTAGAACCTCCTTTTGATTCACTTAAAATGTCAAAGGGAAAGAGAGTCATAATCTACTACCGGCTACCACCTCTTTGGTATGAAAGTTGCATCGATGACAAAACCAGAAAATGATTTGTGATAATTAGTTTGTCAATATTTGTTTATGTGGAATCCTGTCCCCATATTGACAAACTAGGTTGAATAGGATAAGATATGTTATCTCCTGATAAGCTTTATTTGCATACGTCCACACAATTCCATGAAATGTCTATTATGATTATTTTAATTTTCTTTATTGACGTGAATTTTTTGCTTAACATCCTCACAGAAAATGTGTCTACTTAGACGAGTGTTGTGTGTTAACGATTTGAAGTGTTTTGTTTTTCAAATAAATTTATTACCGCACAGCACATACAAATATAATATATTAGTAAAAATGAATATAATATTGCATATTTAACCAAGGCTTTTATTTAATTCCGTTATATCAATCTTTCAAGCTTTGAAACAAGTAAAATATCAGTTGTTAACTATTTACGAAATAAATATCATTTTGATTCTCATCAAGTGTTTAGACCTAACAACAATTGACAATTAACCATGAAAGAAAAGAAAATAAGACGCTACAATAATAAACATCCATCATTTACAGAGTGACGAACTAAACAGGAGGAAACTTCTGACACATAAACAAGCTGAATACTTAACAACAAAGTGAATGGAGTATGTTTTGTTGAAAATTGCAATAAATTGATTATTTTTAAAGTAAATTTACTATTTATTGGACTAATAAATATATAATAAACCCTATATACACCATTAGTGTTTCGAAAATATTCCTGCTTAAACTACAAAACTTTGTACTCGACATGGCTCTCTTAAAATTGCATTAATCTTCAATAAGCCCTTTTCGGCAATAATAAGTTTTTCACTTATTATCAAGTTCGCTTAGACTTTATTTACTAATGTTAAGTCAAAACTTATGCTATTTATTTCATTTCAAACTTACTCAATAGTCTATTACACCGATGCGCATCGAAGGCCTATATTTTATTTCAAACAGCACACCAATGCCTGAAATATTAACGCTTTTTCTCTAACCTTTCCGTTTTTCGTTAACCCGCAACTCAACAACTGTCGCCCTCACTCGACATGACAGAGCGAACCGATTATTTTACCTCAGGTCCTCAGACAATCATCACACATGGGTGTAGCTCGAATCCTTGCTTCCCCGATGTTATGTGCTTTGATGAGCCCGATGGTCTGGGATACAGGTGCGGTCCTTGCCCCGCTGGCTACCGAGGAAACGGCTCCTACTGTTACGATATCAACGAGGCAAGTCCATAACACTTGAGTGCTATATCGAGTCTAGACCGACACTACACCATCAACAGACCGAATAAAGGTTACAATTTCCCGATTTGGAGCTGGTCTGGCCGTGAGAGTTACATCTCAGTCAAACTACAAAACCAACTCCAAACTAACCATTTAGCTATTAAGGATATTGTAAGTTTTTTGCTCGGTCTCTATTCGGTCTCGTTGTCTCATTATTACGACTGGGTCACTGGGAGATGTGATATAAAAGGATTCGATATGTGTGACGATATTCTATTTCGCTAAAAAAAAGATTTAGATTGATGACAAAAGAAACATATTTGATGATTAAACCATATGTAACAGTAATCCATTTCCAACTTGTCGAGAAATTTTCGTTTTAATTTGAACCTGAACTTTAATGAAAACGACAAAATAAACGACGACGAAACGATAGTCACACTGCTTTGGAAGAATCTTGAAAATAAGCTCATAATTATGTGTGCTTAATTGTAAATATCAAGAAAGGATCGTGCACATAATGAAGAAGGCCCATTCTTCACGTGTGTGAATGTGATCGTAGTCCTTGTAACTTAAACTAAAGTTTAGTTATGATATTATCTTCATACCAGTGTATTGAAGCTTACCCGTGTTCAGACGTAGTAGAGTGTATCAACCTAGTCCCAGGGTTCCGCTGTCCACCATGTCCTGAAGGATTCATCGGTCTTGGATTAGAAGGAATCGGTCTTGAAGCTGCTGTTAGGAACAGACAGGTAAATTAATGAGTCCTTAAAAGTATACCAATCACATTATAAAAATAATTTGTGTACAGCTTGCATGTATAAACTCAAGTTAAAAAACACTTAACCTGGCATTCTGTGGGTTAATGGTTTATTAGAAGTATGAAGAAAATAAAGATGAGCATAAAATGGCGCATACGGAACCCATGGATACCCTACGCGATATATTCTAGTGCGACCACGTACGGGGGTGTCGACTAGTGACCTCACTGTCTGGTTGCCCTTGTGTCTAGTAAAGTGCATTTGAATATGCGATTACTCTTTTTAGAAGTATTGTTTGAAGCTGATATTTTGTAGTAAGCAATCTAGAACCCCTAACATACATAGTTAAACATTTCCTGGGGATTGGTACATTCTAAATTGATGCAGATGCGAACGGGCCCATGCCCCAACGCACATATTAAACTTTTCGTTTGTATCAGTGCTTTGGTGTTTGCATGATTTGTCATTACTATAGAAAGACTGTTTGAGAACATGTATGAACAAATCACGACGAAAATATGAAAGATTGAATATATAAGAAACTGAGAAATTTCATGAATTTGAGGGCAATAAAAACTGATGCATAAATTATGTAGTAGAAAAATGAATTATGGGAAAATGCATTAAAAAGAAATCATCCGAACTTATTACAGAAAAAATAAAACATTACAGAGATTATACGCAAAGTGGACAAAAATGACATTCAAAAAGAATATTATATAATTCATTTGGAAATATAGAAATTGTATTGATTATAATACTTTATTACAGAAAAATATATGCAAATAAGAGTACTGTCAATGAAATTTGTTATCCTTTATAAATATTCTCATTTACAACAAATGGTCTTATTTTTTATTTTCCAAGGTTTGCGATGATATCAATGAGTGCGAAAGAAACAATGGTGACTGCGTGCCAAACTCTTACTGCATCAACACAAGGGTAAGTCTTAAATATATATTGTCAAATTAACCGCATACAATCATATGTAAACTTACAATAGGATTCTTTATTCTCTGTTACAGCATAAAATGATATATTTGTCTCGACAGCTGTTGAATAATGTATATGGAAAAGTCAATTTCAGATTTTAAATTCATTTTAAAGTCTTAACAGGTTAAATACATTGTTGGAAATCATACAGGAGTGTCATTTCCCCCTCTATTAATATTCTGACGTGTAACTTGCATATACATTTCGTTACATTTAACCAATAGAATTTTTTTTATGATATGCCCTTTCTTTGTTAAACCGTTTGATATAGTTCCGTCAAGCCTTTTTCTAATATTTCTTTCAATGATAGAACGATATCACACGATGAAGTGATTCTTAACATGTTTCTCCCTTTCATTTGAGATTGTAAATATTTCTCTACTATTTCTATTGAAGAAGGAATATCACATTCAAGAAAAGAATTAAGTATCATCATGAACGCTGTCTTTTCTCCAATGGCGGAGCAGGTTTGATCGAGATTATAAGGTTATTATCTGTTTGTTAGCAGGGTTCACACATCTGCGGTGACTGCAAGCACGGGTTTGAAGGCAACCAAACGGTTGGATGTAAGCAGAAGAATACATGTCCTAATGGAGAACGCAGTCCCTGTCACCCCAAGGCTAAATGCATCATACACAGGAATAACGCTTATACGTGCGAGGTAAGAAACGCAACAACGTGACATTTGTCTTTCATACAGAGGCGGCGCTCCGGGGGTAAGGTACATGAAAAGAACCCCTTTTTACATAGGAAAAGTGCCCCATTCACTTTGTAAGAAATGCCTCTTTTTACTTTGACAAGTGCCCCTATTACCTTGTTAAAGAGCCCTTTCCCTTTTCACCTCTGGTAAATGCCCCCCTTTTGACACATGCCCCTTTTCCTTCGACAAGTTCCTATTTTCCTTTGCAATAAGTGTCCATTTTCCATTCTCACAAGTGCCCTATTTAATCTCTAGTTAGTGCCCCTTTTCACTTTTGATAAGTGCCCCCTTGTGCTTTTTTCCTTTGTAAAGTGCCCCTTCCCCTTTTAATAACTACCCCTGTTCAACTCGGATAAGTGCATCTTTCATATTCACATGTGCCCTTTTCCCTTTATAATAAGTGCCCCTTTTTATGATTAGTGCCCCCATTTAGAAAAGAGCTCCGTCCCTTTCTCATAAATGCCCTATTATACCAATGAAAAGTGTCCATTTTCATCCTCATAAGTGCCATTTTTCATGTGCGAGAAGTATCCCATTTTCTCCTCTGATAGGGGCCCTTTCCTAAACTTTGGCACGTAGTCTTTTCTTTCCTAATAAGTGCCGTTTTACCTTCTAATAAGTGCCCCTTTTCCTTTTTAATAATAATACATGATATTTATATAGCGCCATTATCCATTTTAATTAAATGCTCAAGGCGCTTTTTCCATAACATGCACCCCTAATCAAAAGCGACGGAGAGCAACTCTGTCTTTAATTCCTGTTGATTTTTAGTATTTTCAGTTCTGTGGATAAGGACTATGCATGTTTACAAAGATCATGAATATTCACAACATATTACTACCGACAATCGATTATTGAAAATTCAATATTTTTTCACCATGAATTCATAATGTACCCGTTTTTAATGCAGTCTTCACAAATCAGAAGTAAACAAAAATGAATTTGTTTTGTTATAGGTATCGCCATCACAACCTTCTTCAAATCATGTGAACTGTAATCTGTGAATTTCGAGAAGAGGAAAAAGTATTCGACAATCTGTAATCGTGAATTAACTTTGTACATGTATCATGAAGTTCGGTTACATATATACATGTTCATTGCGTTAAATGTTCAGCGGTTACAGGCAATGTAGTGTTGGCATCCGGCGCCAGGTCACATTTTACTAGTACTTATCCGGTTTCTTTGAGGGACATAAGAGGTCCGTCATCCAGGTGGCTATGTAATCACGCTACATTGTTTCACGATCGTCTATTTTAAACATACAGCACGTTCAATATAGTTAACTTTCTATTTCATGAGAATCAAATTTTTTAGAAATCAGTCGGTTAATATATTAATTTTTGAAAAAAGATTACGTTCGGGTAATCCTTCATAGGCACCCTTATTTTATTCTAACCACAAGACCAAACATGTTCAGTCAGTCCGCACGTTCGAAAAAATGTGCTTCTTTTATTTCCAGCGACGATCTCGTGACCTTCGGCTGACCTCTGAAGCCGCTGTGAAACACACTTTTGCAAACGCTCATAGTTTCGCTCTTAGTTATTTTTTTTCTCTTTCTGTCTTTAGATTTCACAAGATGAAACCCCATCATTTCTGTACATATATATTTTTAATGAAATTGGTTATCGGAAAGGATTCATATTTGTAATAAGATATTGCCAAACATTCACAAATCACAAGGTTTTATATTTACCGTTATAATTTTTGTTTAAACCCCCCGAGACGTAATTGCCATATAAATATTCCGAATCCACATATATTCACCTTTCTAATGAACCTAAATATTTGATGATTCATCTCATGACAGGGTCAGGATCCAGCAAAATGTTAAACATTGTCCCCGAAAAATTCACCAAAAGACGTTCTCGAACAAAACGAGCCCTCGCGAACGATTCCTGCACCCTGATTGGTTGAGCGAGCAGCCTACAATGACGTAATTTACTCAGAACGGTCCGGAACGAATCTGTCTGCTACAGTCCGCTATTTATTCCATGTAATTGTGCATTTCACCTACAAACTATTCTCATTTAAATCAGGATAATACATTGAAAAAGTTAGGTGCTTCGAAAAGAAATACATTTTGATACCGTAGGCTAAATATATCTCTTGAATTTACCGACACCAATGTGACCGAATCAGTCCCACTCTACTAAATGTGTGTACTGTTCAGAACTGCGTGAATGGCGTGAACACATCAATCTCAGCTCAGTCGCAGTCACTCAGTAAGGACAATGGGACCACAGCTCACAGGCAGCAGTTACGTGAATTATTCCGTCAAAGATATTGTCATTATTATGAATTTATTTGCCCTTAGTGAAATCAAGTTGCTGCTCAGCAATTACTAGATCGAGTGGGTTAGACTCTAATTTATTTGGACTTTTTTGGAGTCTAATTATATTAACAGTAACCTAGACTTACAGCACTCATCCTCCAAAATCACAAAATAATATATATATTTTTTAATGACTGCACTGCTGGAGTTATTGTTGGAATTTAAAGGTATGGTCATTAACCTTGATCACTTCATTACTTCTCCCTTTCATATTCCATGCTTTCGCATCCATCTCGCTCTTATTCTTCCAACTATAACACCTACCACTCATTTTTACTCGTAGGCCTCTGTACCGCTCATTCTTGAAACAATATTTACAGAATTACAAGGAGCATGAGAAAAAAAATTTAACTTATGAAAGGCTTTTTAATATAAAAACATATGTACAGGTTTCATCTTTAAAAATACAATATCATGTGAAAAAAATATCACACACATAAAATAGGCTTGTTCTTAAGTCACACACAAATATTTGGCAAGGTCTTTTTTATCAACAAAATTGAAAGTCTAGTACCAAAAAAAACTGACAACAATAATGTTGAAATAGACATCTACCACCATAAAGAAAAAATGTGAAAATACAATACAAATGTGTCAAGGAGATGAAGCAACTGCCTTGTTCCCAAAACAAAATAATATTTCACAATTCCTTTTGATTTCCATATTCATAAACCATAATCAAGTGATATGTGTACATGATTATAATAATGGTTTATTTACTTTCTTTGGCAAGAGTATAAACAAAGTAATTAAAAGTGAGGTGTGATGGAATGGTACTATGAATAACTAATGAACTAATACAAATTGCATTTCCTGATCCATCTATGCTAAATGGCAATTTGAGTAACGTAGTAGTGACATGACCTTTTTTTATAACAATGTTGAAAATAATTTACTTCCTTGAAATACATACATATATGCAGAGTTGTACAATATGAAAAAATAAAGAAAAACTCCCTGTGACCAATACTTATCACCATGACAGCAAATGCAAACAAAACATTTGTTAAAAGTAAAGCATACCATGATCCAAACATAAACATGATTGCATACAGACTACCCGTATTCAAATATCTTGAAGAGTTCATTTAAACAAAAATATAGAATCCTTCTTTGGCAAGACAAGAAAAGATTGTACAAATGCTAGTAGAATAAAAATTTTAAAAAGTACATGTAAGTGTGTCTCCATACATGTAGCATTCAAAACGTCAGCTGGCAAGTTTCATCTTATTTTAAAAGCAGAATACAAGATACATGTACATGTAGATGTAACATTTTGTTTACCGGTACACTTCCTTCAACTCTAGAAAAAAATATAATAATGACCATGCATGTGTTGAAAAAAATCTAGAATTAATAACCACTATAAATATGGGTGTAACTGAAAACACCGTGCATGTATATGAAGACAACATATCTAGGAAATACATACATTATGCAGAGTTGTACAATATGACAAAATAAAGAAAGACTCCCTGTGACCAATACTTATCACCATGACAGCAAATGCAAACAAAACATTTGTTAAAAGTAAAGCATACCATGATCCAAACATAAACATAATTGCATACAGATCACCGGTATTTAAATATCTCAGAGAGTCTATTCAAACAAAAAGATAGAACCTTCTTTGGCAAGAAAAGAAAGATTGTACAAACGCTAGTAGAAAAAAGTGTCTCCATAGCATTCAAAACGTCAGCTGGCAAGTTTCATCTTATTTTAAAAAGCAGAATACAAGATACATGTAGATACTAGATAGCAGTGTAACATTTTGTTTACACTTCCTTCAACTCTAGAATATAATATAATAATGAACATGCATGTGCTCAAGAAAACAATCTAGAATTAATAACCACTATAAATATGGGTGTAACTGAAAACACCTGGCATGTATATGAAGACAACATATCTACTAGTAAATCTCTTTGATAAAAAGCTGACAGTAATGTAACAAAAGTTCTAATACATATTAAGTTGTAATAACCAGTAATTACGTCATTGAGGCAGCATGTACATGTACATAACTAAATAAAACTCTGAATACAAACATATATAAAATAGAATACAAATGCCGAGCAATAACTCTTAAACATTCCGACAAGTAATATCAGTCAGTATTTAAGCCAATTCTGTTTCATCTTCAGAAAAATCTGTTATCTCAGCTTCCCTTACATCAAAGACATGTACATCATCATCAACCTGCATATCTCTGTCATTAATTTCCAAATCACTTTCATCACTAGATGTATAATCAGAATCATCACTGTTATCAGATTCTATTAAAGACACAGAGGTAGGATTCTGTAAATGTGTTGTTTTTACATTCTCACAGCTTCTTGATTCTCTGTACTTCTCACGTACACTAAAAATCAAATCTCTATATTGTCCTCCAGTTCTTTCCCAGACACTATTGCCAAGATTGTTAGTTCCAATATGGATTACAACTGCATCCACTGTGGAGTCAAAGTCTGTTTGTGCTCTAATTATCTGTCGAAGATTCCTAACAGTGGCACCCGGATAGCAGAATATTTTGCCACCAAACTGATCCTGATCAAAACTTACACCACGAACAATTGAGTCACCATATACATGAATCTGTCATCTCCTACATGGAACGAAAAAAAGGGAAACAAAAGAAACTAAGAATGAGTGACTGTTGATAAAAAAAAAAAAAGCAGAAATTTAACTACGTTTAAATCTACACCAGAAAGACTGGTAAAATTCAGTGCCTTCAATCTCGGTTCAACACAGCTCAATTTAATGGATCACTGCAATATCACCATGATAAATGGAATTCTAGGGCTGTTTTAACTTTCAAGATTGGTAGCTAATGACCTTGCTCTGACAATTGAAACTTTTGAATCTGAGAGTGAGATATGAAACTTGAAAGAATTTGAGAATAGGATAAACTAGTCTGAATAGTCACCGCAGCTCAGGCGCAGCGCCCAGACATGGCAGATGCACAGGCTAGCCTTAAGGGCTCTCTCGAAATCTTTTTTTAATGATATTATTCGAGAGAGCCTTAAACGGCTCCCATACCCCTGCACGGAGAGGCATGTAAACAAAACTCAAAAGTGGTCCAAAATCACACTTTCGCGCACCCGACCAATATTGGACAGTGGCTTTGATAAATTTTGTCCTAGTTTTGGTCTTAATTACCGCTTTAATTTCAAAATCGGATCTGAAAATAACAAAATAAGAGCAATTTTCTTACCAGACCGATACAGCTCAGCTCCCTTTTCACGTGTACCGTGTGAATTCACGATGTCTACACAATGGTGATGACCTCTGACTGGCACTTCCGTAATTGTGGGTAAATTGTGCTGCTTCCGTATAATGCGCTGTATGAGTGTTATTCAGCGCATTATACGGAAGCAGCACATTTACGAAGTGCCAGTCAGAGGTCATCACCATTGTGTAGACATCGTGAATTCACACGGTACACGTGAAAAGGGAGCTGAGCTGTATCGGTCTGGTAAGAAAATTGCTCTTATTTTGTTATTTTCAGATCCGATTTTGAAATTAAAGCGGTAATTAAGACCAAAACTAGGACAAAATTTATCAAAGCCACTGTCCAATATTGGTCGGGTGCGCGAAAGTGTGATTTTGGACCACTTTTGAGTTTTGTTTACATGCCTCTCCGTGCAGGGGTATGGGAGCCGTTTAAGGCTCTCTCGAATAATATCATTAAAAAAAGATTTCGAGAGAGCCCTTAAGGCTAGGCTGCTGCATGCTGTGACCCAAGTTAATTACAAACTGATTTTGATAATAAAAAACTGGGTCTTGCTTGATTTTCATCATAGATTCTCACCCATGTCATGATCTAATTTACTGTTACTAGACGTTTAGAACTGCAAGTAGCCAAGTGCAAATTTGGCTCCATCACCATCAGACATCACACCATCACTAATCACTCAACTCTCAGTCTCAAGTCAAGTCAAGACACAATCTACATCAATCTCCTTACCTTGATCTAGCAAAAATATATAGAATTTGGAGGACCTTTTTATTAACCATATATTTTTTTTACGGTTATATATGTAAATTTGATAAATTCATAACATATTTGCCTCATGAATTCGACTCTACGATCTTTTCTTTCAATGTTTGCGACTGGTTACCTAACGAGTGGTTTAAACACAAAAATGTAAGTACGCGGGACTACACTATAAAAACTTGACCGTTCATCGAAAATGGCCTCTTAAGTTCGGAATCTGGTAACACGTGACTTTGTGCACATCGTTCACGGTTTCAAGACGATCAACTAATTAAATATTCATAACTTTAGGGGGGCAAATACTCATATTGTTAATTTGTGAGCCGGGACAAATTATACATCGATGGAATCGTCAACATCTGCAGATGGCAATTAAAAACAAATTAAAATCGTAGAGTCTACATTTTATGACAGGGTCAGGATCCAGCAACATTTAGAGGCTTGCAAAAACAGTTCCTAAAGAGAGGCGTGTGGTTATGACGTGTTTTGTATACGAAATTTTACTCAAATTTTACAGAAAAAGAACGATAATAGACACAAGAAAACGGACTATGTACTCACCTAAACATTGCGACCGCAGAAAGCTTGGTTTTCTCTTAAACTGCACTCGCAGTACACGGTACAAAAATCTCGTGACTCGCGAGATGTTAGATGACAGGAGCGAGCGCTCGCGGGATTGGAAATAAAACAGGCCGGTTTTGCTCATTAGCATACGACCTGCGGTCTGACTGTGTTTTTCTTCTATTTTTAGTTCTGTGGATAAGGACTCTGTTTACAAAAATCATGCTTTGGGTTCATGAATATTCATAACATATTACTACCGACAATCGATTATTGAAATTCTACATTTTCCACCATGAATTCATAATGTACGCGTTCTTATTGCAGTCCTCACAGATCAAAACTCACCAAAATGTACTTGTTTTGTTATGGTTATCGTCATCACAACCTTCTACAAATCATATGAACAGAAGTGAATTTCGAGCGAGAAGAAGAACAAATAATCGACATTTTGTAACCGTGAATTAACTTTGTATCGTGAACTTGGGGTATATAGATATATCTTCAGTGCTCTAACACCTGGCGGTTACAGGCAATGTGTAGTGTTGGTATCGGTCCGGCGCCGGCTGATGATCAGATTTGGTGTGTTTATCCTGTATGGGATGTTTGTTGTTTTAATCCTTTATGGATTGTTGTTATTATTGATTGTGTTTTATCCGATCGTGTTCAGATAATTCACTAATTGATTGATAAGACATATTGTATGCACCTGCGATGTGTCTACCAAGCTATATTATGCCGTGACTGTCTTTTTGATAAAGCCTAGCATCTATATTGTTAATTTTTAATGAGAATCAAAAAGTTGATAAATAAGTCGGTATGCATTAATTTTTAAAAAAAATTACGATTAAAAAAAAAATACTAAGCACAAGACCCAAACATGTTTGCTTAGTCAGAGGCGGCGCTCCGGGGGGGGGGGGGGGGGGGGCAGGGAGCACAGTGCCCCCAATTTTCCAGGTACACCCAAAGTGCCCCCTTTTCCTGTGTAAAAACTGCCCCTTCCCCTTCTTATAAGTGCCCCTTTTCCTTGCAATAAGTGCACCCCCATTGTTTTCATAAGATCCCCTTCACTTTCTCATAAATGTTCCTTTTAACCTATGATAAATGCCCCATATAAAATCTGATAAGTGCCCCTTTTCTTTCGACAACTGCCCCTTGTCCTTTTAGCTATCCCTTTTCCATTCTCATAAGTGTCCTTTTTAATCTCTGGTAGGTGCCCCTTTTCAGGTAGGAGAAGTGTCTCCTTTACCTCTGATAATTGCCCCTATTCAAATCTGACAGGTACATGTTTTACTTTGACAAGTGCCCCTTTTTCCTTTGTAATAAATGACCCATTCCCCTTCCGATAAGTGCTCATTTTCTTCTTTGATAAGTTCCCTGGTCCGCTTCTGATAAGTGCCCCTTTTATTTTGACACGTGCTCCTTTCCCTTTCTAAATTTGTGGCACAACGCCGTCACACACTGGGCGTCATTTCGACTGGTTATTGCCTTAGCTTCTCAGGCAAATGACGCTTCGTGTGAAACAGCTATCAGAAAGAAAAAAATGAAATAGCCCGGCGAATTTGACTTATGTTTTAGCCCATCGATTGTCTCTGTGTGACACTTCAGATTCAAGCTGACAGCGAATCACTTTTGATATAAATGGTGCATTTAAAAAGAAATAAAACAACATAACAAAGTTGAAAAGAAACGTTAAATGTTTTTTTCAAGTAATTTGGTTATCATTCTAATTTGTCACTTTTCGAGTTTAAAATAACGATGATCTCTCTCTCTCTCTCTCTTTCATTTTAGTGTATCATTGGGTGGGCCGGTGACGGCTACGATTGCGCTCTTGATACCGATCTGGACGGCTATCCTGATTACGCTCTTCCATGTACCGACAAGCATTGCAGAGCTGTAAGTTCTTATTCTCTCCTAACTATGCTTCCATTTTGGGGTTCTAATTGTCCAAGTGGGTAATTTTCCAAGGGGTAATTGTCCTTGGGGTGGGATATTGTCCGGGGGGGGGGTGATTGTCAAGGAGGTAATTGTCCTGAGACACTATTAAGTTTTGAATGCAAATTTGACGCTTGACATCTAAATGAATACGTGTGCAGGCAATTTTATAAGCGTCTTCCCTAAAAAAAAATGACGTTAATGATTATGCACGGTTATAGACCATCCCCCTCCCCCTCCCCGGTTTTCAAAAGGATAGAAGTTCATTTCTATCCGAATACGGATATACACGATCAAACTTATACGAGCTTTTATCTTCGCAAATATTTTGAAGTCATCTGAAGCTAAAATAAAATAGAAAAAAATAGTCATTAAATCCCCTTTTATAAGTATGGGTCAACGCTTTCATTGCCAGTCGCAACTTTTAGTCATTTACTCTGAGTTTGTTTGTTTACTAACTTTAAATGCAGAATTGATTTGACTATGATCTCTAATATATTTCTCTCTTCAGGACAATTGCGTATATATTCCTAACAGCGGACAGGAGAATCAAGATGGCGACGAAATGGGTGACATTTGTGACCCGGATGCAGACAATGATGGAGTTCCTAATGGTCCGGTAAGGAAGAGGATTACGTAGTTTGTGATACACTGAATATATTCATCATGTAATCATACTCCTTTGGAAGTTTTACCGTGATGCCGCTTAATCGTGTACGGGTTATCTTAAGAAATCATATTCGCCCCCCCCCCCCAACAACACGATCATTTTAGTTAGTTCATAAATTATTGTGCTGAGGTGATGAATTCAAATTATTGTGCTGATGTACATTAATTCAAATAGAAAGGAAATGGTATCCTCACACAGTAATAGAAAAACAGATACTAATTTTACTTTCTAGCACCCGATATTTAAGGGGTAAAGGGAAATTGCCTTGTATCACCTTTTTTTCGCCAAGACTTTTATTTTGTCATTACATTAATATTAGTGCATCATACAAAATAAGCAACGAATTTTAATTCAAATCAGCCGTTCGAATATTTTGCAGCATCCCCAATTACCCCCCCTACTGTGTAAAATCCCTACACATTCCGAAGCTTCTTCCAGAGAACCTTAAATCATGTTACTTTAAAGTTTCTAAATTTGCTTTTCTTACCATCGAAATGAGATTGATCAATGGTCCTCGGTCATTATATTCATTTTAGGATAACTGCCCTCTGGTGGCGAACCCTGATCAAGTGAATAGCCAAGACGATGACCCGGTGGGCGAAAGATGTGATAACTGTCCGATGACGCCTAACCCCAAGCAGATTGATACCGATGCAGACGGCAAGGGTGACGAGTGCGACGACGATAAGGACAATGATGGTAATTATGATGACCAGCAGATGACCAAGACAATTAATTATTACAAGTTATCTAGTTAGTATGATCAAAAGATATATTGAAGAACTGGGAAAAATCAAACGTGATTTGTAAATTACCATTTAGACGAAAATCATCAAGACAGTTTAAGGATTAGTCTCTGATTGCACAAAACAATATACAATATATAGCCTACCTTTCGGGAAAGATTGTTGCAAGTCCTTTTTCAACATGATTTTATTTCTAATCCCCGAACTGATTATCACCATTAAATGTTTTCCAATACATTTTTTAAATAGAGGAATTCTTTTTATTCTAGTTCTGCAAATGTTGAAAGCTAGCATGCAGGCTGCATTCATCTTCATGAGGGCTTAATAAACACTCCTTGATAATAAGAAAGTTATATTACGACATATAAACGACAATGCTGATAGGACAGTCAGTAAATGAAAGGTATAACAGTAATAAGTTATTCAAAAAAGGCAATTTTTTCTTCTGTCTTTTTTCTCTCAGGTATCCTAAACATCTACGATAACTGTGAACTTGTTCCGAACAGGATGCAAGATGATACTGATGGGGATGGTCTCGGTGACGCTTGTGATAACTGTCCCATGCAATACAATCCAGACCAGGTACGGACACAGCGATCCAGCATCAAAATAAATATTGATCATCACTCAGTGTCTTGTTTCTTCTTTATTCTTTCTTCTTCTCCTTTATATTTATGACAATTTAGCATGTCCCTCCGTTTCGATGTATACATTAAGGTCATCTTCCGTTCTTCAATATTTATTTTTTGTCTCTTATACGAATTTATTACATTTTACAACGTCAATGTCAAATATCGAATTTGTTTTACTTATAACGTCAATATTTTATTTTAATTGAAACACTCTTTAACAAATTGTAATCGCTATCCGATGGAGGGGATCAGAGGGGGTGTTTCATGAAGCAATTAGTCGGAGGTTTTTACCGACTAATATCTTTTTCACCGACAATTCTATCGTCACCGACTATTTTCCACGCCTCTGATTGGTCAAATTTAGTCAGGGCTGACAGTTGTCGACGAACAAATGTTGATGAAACGCCCCCAGGTTAGTCAACCGTCGGCAGTAGTGTTAGGATTATATTTTAAACCGTTTTGCTCAGCACAAATTTATTTTGTAACGGAATGACATTTGTCTGAAAAGAAACACAAAGGAAAAGATGAAAACAACAACATGTCGAGAAAACATATAACAGGAAATTAAGAGTTCATTAACATGATTGAGTAAAATAAGTTGTTAAACTTCTATTTTTATATATATTTCACTCTTTTAATAACATTCTATCCATTTAGAATAACACGGATTCTGATTTGCTTGGAGATATCTGCGATAACAATGAGGATTCGTAAGTATTTATACCAAATCGTTTTTTTTGTAAATAATGTTTTATTTTTAATTATGATGTTGACGCTTTCCAACCAACATTGCCTTAATAGTACATTGACTATCTGGTTGTCTTTAAGAAACACTTCACTTAGAAGTATTTGATAAGCAATCAAATCATTTGGACAACTAAGGAAGTACTTTTTAACACTAAATCAGTTTTTAAACATGCCTTGTTTGGGAAAGGAATGTGTAAATAAGTGAGATATTAGAAAAAGATTAAGTTGTATTTAAATGGCTAGATGCCAGATTTGGTTTGTCATACACAGATTCTTCCTTCCCCTTCTTTTGGAGTGTTATAAACAAATAACTAGCAGTAGTAATCATTTCGTGAAAGAAATAGGCATCAATCTCCCACTAATTGTAACATAATTTTACAAAGTAAGAATTCTAACCATTAAAGCCTTTATTATTTTCATCGTGTAGTTATTACTATCATTTTATATTTTTACCTATTCGCTATCTTGCATAAAAATTATAAAACATATCTAGATATTCCCCTTATATGAATGTGATTAGACGATGTAATTGTACACTAGGCAGTTTGTTCGATTCCATAAAATGATTTAGATTTGTAAAATACTCGTTAGAATTTTCCTCTTTTTTTCCCCTTCAAATTAAATTGACATGTTTGGTCAAGAAGCTTCACCCCCCCCCCCCTCCCCACAAAAATGTAACCATACGCCTCGTATACAGATTGTACACAAAATGAACAAATATCAATCCTTGCTTCTAACTCCTTACAGGGACGACGATGGTATTCAGGACAACTTGGACAACTGCCCCAAAATCCCAAACAACCCTCAGCTAGACTCCGACGGTGATGGCAGGGGTAAGATAAAAGCCACTCACTGTCGCTAGACCACTGGGAATCGAGATGGGAGATGTGTTGGTCCAAATTTGCCGGAAAGATTTAAACAAGATTTAAAAAGTTGCCCGATAAGTATAAATAACAATAATACTACATCAAAAATTTGTCAATGTCATGTAACGCGTATTGACTAATCACGATGCTTAAAATACTAGAGCCATTTTATAACATTTGTTATGCGCCATCGATCTAGTAAACTTATGTTGAGGCGCAGAGGGAGATTATTACCCCAGCTTTATCATACTTCCATTGAGTAAATACAAGGTTATCACATTTCGACATTTGGTTCATAGTTGTTGTGAATTTTAAGCAGCAATAGAAGAGAAAGAGATTTGGCAACATATGGGTGTATCATATCACCCCGCTCGTGCTCCCATTCACGTTTTGATTTATAATCTTGATGGAGTTGTCTCCGTGTCGTTGTCCTAATCTTTTTCTATGCTCTATATTATTTATGCATTTTTCTTTGTAGCTATGTTTCCATCTCTTTATATTTTCATATCTTTATACATCTGTCTATTAAATGATAATTCACACACACGTATCTGTCTATTAGTCTGTCAACTACTTGCTCTTCGTACCTGTAACTAGTCGACGGATTTCAAATTATCTTAAATAACATTTCACACAGATGCCTTTCTGATCAATGATGCTTATGATTGAACAAAAGGATTTAATGTTAATCGCATTTCTTCTAAAGGTGATGCATGCGACGACGATGACGACAGCGACGGTGTTTATGACATCGTAGACAACTGTAGGATCATTCATAACCCTGACCAAGCAGATTATAATCGTAAGCTCTAAATTTTTCATTCTAATTTTTTAAAGTAAAAATTATTAGACATATATCTGGAAAACTAGTTAAGCACAGGGCTACTATCACTTGATCCTAAGATTGCCTGTGATAATCAAAACTTATATTCTATTTTTTTTTTAATTGTTTAGTATAAAAGAAGTTTAGTCAATTATATCCACCTCGAATTTGTAATATATTTGTCGAGGATGAATCTGTGAAATCATTGAAAAACAAGGCTTGGGGACAAAATGACAGCTTGCAAAAAAAACATGATTATCGTCACCGCATGAATTTTGATTGATCAATGTAAATAACTTGTCCATCAATTTATCTAATTTTGTCATCAATGTATCAATGTACAATAGAGGATGGCATCGGTGATATGTGCGACAGTGATTTCGATCGTGACGGCGTGGATGATCAATATGATGCCTGTCCTGAGAACCCTAATATATTCACCACCGATCTCAGAACCTATCAGACTGTGGTCCTAGATCCAGAGGGTGAAGCTCAAGTCGATCCTAAGTGGATTGTCTTTGACGAGGTAGGTGTCACTTATTTTGCAAAAGCAAAGGGAATCTTTCTTTTGATACACGTGCGTCGACAGAAAGCATTAGGGACTTTTAGATTCTGCACGACGAGAACGTGGACTGCCCTTTTAAGGCAATATGACGACACTGCCAGTGCCTTAAAAGGATGTCACATTGCCTTAAAAGGGCGGTCCACGTTCTCGTCGTGCAGAATCTAAAAGTCCCTATTACCACGAAAAGGGAGAGGATAATCTGAATAGACGTTACGAATTACGTTACGAATACACATACCGTATTCATAATTCAGTGAATACCTAATAGTGAATCTGATGGGTAATCCTCTGTAAATACGGCTTTGTGAATTGACTCGAGATCTCTAAATATGTGACGATGATAATTTATCAAATGAAAAAAGATTCCTATTACCGTTTTATCAAACAGATACTACACATCATTATGATCGGGACTTTGAAACAGTCCAAACACACCCGGTTATCTTCTCAGAAATCGGCCTGTTCTAAATGTATACTGCTTGATGTGTGGATAACTGACACGCATTGATTGTGCACCACACTGTAGAAGCTGGCGCTGTAGAATATTTAAAAACAATGCATCGACAAAATATGGGAAAGCAATACAGTCACTGACTACTTGTCCATTGTGTTTCAAAACAGGGTCGTCAGATCATGCAAACCATCAACAGCGATCCCGGCTTAGCCATCTCTTACCAAGCCTTCGACGGTGTGGACTTCGAAGGAACCTTCTTTGTGAACACCCGAACTGATGATGACTTCGCAGGTTTTGTCTTTGGTTACCAGGATTCGGCTAGTTTCTACGTCCTGATGTGGAAGCAGGGTCCACAGACCTATTGGGAAGCTTCCCCATTCAGGGCCGTCGGTGAACCGGGCTTCCAACTTAAGGTGAGAGGGCTAATTGGTTGTATTTAAAAGTATTTAAATCATTTTATGGAAACAAACAAACAGCAAAGTTTTCATTTACATCGTCTGGTCACATTAATATAAAAGAAACTGTTCAAATTCTTAAATATATGTATGTAAGATAGCGAATATGTGAGAAGGTTAATGGTAACGAAATCTGATTCAAGAGGGCCACATTTGTTGTTGCAGAATGTGATAGTTAAGATTGTAATTTTTCGTATATTTTCAAAGAGGCAGACTGATATTGTCTAAAATGTTCTTTGCAGGCAAAACAAATACCGGTAGTAGAGATACGGACTTAAATGTTTTTAGAACTAGATCACAGGGTATTAAACTAGAAGCTGCCATTTACAGGTGCTGTTCAAAATTTAGAACTATTGTAAGCATATCAGACTTTACATGATGAGTAGATGTACTGTCTTCGAAGGATATCATCATAATTACACACTGTATATTATAGGCTTATAACAAACAGGGATAGATAAAGGATGGGGACATAATATCTAGACAGCCCCTTGCAGTATGGGTCCACTTCTAGTTGTATTTCCTCTGGGCTCTAAAGATGATAGCGGGACCAGGGCATTCTCCAGGGGGTGTTTTACAAAACTTGTCATCATTGACAAATGACAGTTTTTGTTAAAAGCTAGTGAAATCCTTGCTTCTGATTGGTTATCAGCAGATTCGTCACTGATTGTTGTCATTTTCATTGAAAAAATGGCTTTGTGAATCCCCCCATATCTATTGACCTTTTATATATAAAATGACCAGTCGATATGATATCTATTCGTTGGTTAAAGGTAATACAAAGTTTTGGGAAATTTTGAAAATTGGGTGGATAGTGAATCTTTACAATTTTGATATATTTGGATGCTCCTGTGCGTATATTATAAGCACTAAAAAAAAATAGCCCCTAAAACACTACTGTTTTCGAGAAAAATTGAATATAAAAATTTACCGGTGCTCCCGGTAAATTTTGATAAATTTCAAATAGCGCCTATGGCCGTACAATGGTAGCTGCGACCATGAAAATCTCAGAATATTTAGTTGTATTATATAATTTCCAAACGGGAATAGCTAATCCGTCGATTTTAGTCAAGAAACATTGTTTCAAAGCTAAATTAACATCTTGACCTTGAGAGGGAGCTATACAACATAAAGAGTTTATTATTTATAATTTCATAACTTCAGACTCGATTTCAACTGCGACAACGATCAATGTATATCGTAGGAACGCATATGCTTCCAATATTTTAATTTGAACCGAATTCATGACCCCATACCAAAACTTTGTAATTCCTTTAAGTATACTCGCTCGACCTCTTTAGATGTATCAGACTGTCCAAGTGACTTGATTACTCTCTGCCACAGGTTATCAAATCCGATACTGGTCCAGGTGAGATGATGAGGAACGCTCTGTGGCATACGGGAGATACACCGGGACAGGTAGGTCTTGTCGTAAGGTCAGGGCCCTGTTTCATAAAACTTGATACCAATAAGAAGTTACAAGCTACTGTTATATATAAGCTACTGAAATCATGGCAACTGATTGGCTGAGAGCAAATTTGTCATAGAAATTTAGCATTTGTTATAGATAACAAGTTTTATGGAACAGGGCCCCTAAGGCGTAGTAGGAAGTAATTCTATGGCCGTTGGATCAGTTGGACGCTCAGAAAATAGTCACGACCCTAGGAGTCCGATTAGACGACGTGTTACTGTGTACATAAGGAAGAGAAAGCAAATTGAATTCCGTAATATAATTTATTTCATTTTATTGTTTTGCCCAGTCAAACTCATTATGATACAGTGTATCTTGAGTATCCCTATAGGAACAAACTTCAAAGGATGTAACTAAACAATCTATTAACATTTTAACGTTCTCTGAACGTCTCCGGACGTCTTCGGAACGTCAAGGGTTGTTTACTGGGTTCAATGTAAAACAAACGTCCTAGGGAATGTTTCACGAAGACTGAGGTCGACGTTAAGTTGGACTTATCAAAGACAGGCAGTTCATGCCATTGTTTGCTCTTAAGTGACGGACAAATCGTCGTCACAAATCTACAGAATTTACCTTTTTTGATAGTTCATTATTAAAGGAAAAAATATTATCTAAAGATCGTAAATTGAGAGACCAATAGTGAGAGCAACCAGTGGCATGAATGGCCTGCCATAGTTAAGTCGATCTTAGTCTTTGTGAGACACCCACAGGAAGTATTAATGACTTCTTAAATTAGTTACGCTGTTACCGTATGGTAAACATCTTGACCAAAGAGACAATTCTGCTGACTTGTGTATGTCAAACTGAAAGAAACATAGTTCTAAAGATGTCGAACTTTCTTTTCAGTCACGTCTTCTGTGGAAGGACCCGAATAACCATGGTTGGAAGGATCACGTGGCCTACAGGTGGAGAGTCGTCCACAGGCCTTCGATAGGTCTCATCAGGTAAACCCTCAAGCCAGTATGTTATTTGTAATTGTTAAAGTGATTCGGTAGCATTGTTGAAGGTTGATGGAAAAAATGTGCAATTTTTGTATGAAATATTACTTATTTTATTCCTGAAAAAATCCTTTAAAATATTCTCAAGCCACAAAGATAGTAATGGTCTTCTTTGAAGGCGTCACTGTGCGACACCCTTTAACAGTAAATTCTCCCGACCAAGTTTTGAATTTTCTTAACCGTTTTTCCATGCAAATAAGGAATAAAATAGGCTTTTACAAAATCTGTCAACACTTAAATGTTTGGAATGGTATGTAGAAACAATTCATTGCTTTGTGACGATTTACGTTCACCTACAATTCAATACAATTATAATAATATAGTTGGGAGAATTCAGGAATCAATCAGATCATTTTTCCCGATTTGTTATCACTAATGATGGTCTGTTGTGACTCAAACTTTCAAATTATCTTTAATTGCACATCTATCATTGAAGTCACTACCTTAGCACCATTTCTCTCACCTGAACAATGTCACTAAGTCCCTTTAAGGTTTAGCGCCACCTTAATGATGGCGTCTGATTTGGCAGCTACATCCTCTAGCACTTGAGTTCTGGTTTTGTCTGAATGAAGAGCTGGGCCCCATTTCACAAAACCTGTCATCCGTGACAAGTGACAGTTTTTGTGATAAGATAGTGAAATCCCTGCTTATGATTGGTTATCAGTAGATTTGTCACCGATTTTCGTCATTTGTCATTAAAAAATAACTTTGTGAGACGGGCCCCTGAATTCGACTCGACCAACGTCTGGTGTCATCAATTGTGTTTAAACTATACACTAGGAGGACCCGTGGAAAATCCACGGGATTCTAGGGGGTGGGTGGTTGTTAATAATGTGCTATCGATTTTTTTAATTTTCATGTTTGTTTTTCTGTTTTTGTTCCCCCTTTTATTTTCAATTTCATTTTCCCTCTTGGTATAGGCCTACTTTTTATCATTTTATTCTTTTTCTACTCTTGTTATTAATATTTAATTCGATAGAATATTAACCTTTTGTTTGCTGTTTCATATATCATTTTGAAATGTTTTTTTTTATTTGTAACATATAATAAAACTTGAAGATTGAAAGAAAAAATTAAATAAGTAATTTGTAAACAAACTGATGCAAACTATTTTACGCTTTAACTTTCGTTTTCACTTTCATTATTTATGATTATTGTTTTTCATTCATTCCCATATATATCCTTATTCTCATTATCCATTTCCCGTCCAGTTTCTTACGAATACTGTTCTCAATTCTCCCATTCTCATTTTTCATATTTTCACTCATCTCTAATTAGAACTTGTCCCAAATCAAAACATGAGTAACAATAATTGTTTAACTTGGCTTAACATACATTATTAAAACTAAATGTTCTATTAAACATAATGATATTTTGCATGGATTATACAAAGAACTTCAGAGAGGTCCCAGAGGTCTCAGTGAAAATATACAAATATTGACTGCTCATGAGGATGAAATTATCATTTCCAAGGTGGAGTTCATACCGGTCCTTCTATCACCCGAAGCAAAGCCGAGGGGGTAATAGAAGGGCCAGTATTTGAACGAAATCGAGGGAGTGATAATTTCCACCACCATCCAATTGCAGAGCAGTCCTTATTTTTTTTGTTTATCCCTCATGCTTTCATTAACAGGTCAGTAGAAAAGAAATCCAACATCAAGAGTCTATTTAACATATTTACAGTCTTTCGGAGTTCAAAAGTTTCAAATAACCAACGCTAAACGAAATCAAACATACGGAAATCAAATCTATACAGTGTAGTGCAGTAACTGCGGCGCAGCGTAAAACGATGGCTTGAGCGCCGTGATGACACGCCTGAGTTGGGGGCTGGAAGGCATTTGAAATCCTGTTTGCTCTGTGTGTGTGCATAAATCGCAGATTGGTCAGGCGTACTATCACAGATCTATTTGCGTTATTATTGTTGTTATTTCGAGGTAGTTTTCATGAAAAGACCAATAAAACAGAAGCTTTGACTATGAATATGTTGGCATAGATCACAGAATTTGTATAATTATTTTCAGAGTAAAGATTTTACGCGAAAATAGGTCCATGGTTTGCGCCAATTGTCGCAATCGCCACGACTCGAATCGAGTGTGTGTACGTGTGTGACGGTGAGCGTGAAATACACGTATACTATGGGCGCCTGGCCTATACAAAGCATATCCTATAGAAAGACGCAAAACGCGGGTAAGCCCAACCCGTGAGAGCGTGTATTTCTTACACCCCCTCACCTGCGTGAGTCATCTGTTAATGTGTATTTCTCTTACACGCTACAAAGCGAATCCTATAGCAAGAGGCCTTACTCAAGATACGCCGCAACCTTTACAATGAGACTTGCTACACCCGTTGACGCGAGTGGATTCTCGTCTATCGTGTGTCTCTTCGTCTCTCTTTGATAATTAGACAGAGGGCGGGTGCACGCCTTGCCGACTCGCTCTCGCGGGTTCGTCGCCTCCTCACAATCCACGACGCCCGCCGTGCTCTCGTCCGCCCGTCCTCCCCGGCACCCCGAAACCGCGTTTAACGGCATGGACGTCGATCGCGGGGTCGAGGTGGCACGCGGATTACGGGAGACAGACCTCGTGGAATTGTGCCGCCGTCCCCGCGCCACGGCGGAGGCGAGCGGGGTCGGGGAAAGACGTTTTTGAGGAACCGTTTTGGCCCGTTTTGGACCCCCGCGGCGATTTTGCGTATTAATAATATAGATACACCTTTGATTATCTTTCTACTTCTATCATGTACACGATCGCAAATACGTTCGAAAAATCAAACTAAGGCAATATCAATAGCCTTGTCGATCACCTATCGAAATGTACGAACATGATCATGAGATCATGACGTATTACGTAATCCCAAATGACGTTATTGATTCTATAACTTGAGTTGATTTTTCGAAAGTCTTTGCGATGTTAATGATAAGTCAGTCAAGGTTTAAGATGATGTTGGGTTCTGGGCCCTTTCTTTTACAGAATTCGCGACTGAATCGATCGCAAGTCTTTCAATCCATCACAAATTACACTCATCTTTTTCTTATACTTATGGTAGGAGTTGCTATTAACATCAAACTCAAATTGAGTTGCAGTCGAATCAAAGTTATTTCAGGCCCATTATGATATGATATATATATATATATATATACACTGAGTTTTATGGTTGTGTAGTAAATCTGGATGATATTTTTTTTAGGAAACTTGATAAATTACATCGAATTACTTTCAGACAACTCCACAATATTCACAGGCAAGTGACAAGTAGCAACTAGATCAACATTCAAACGGATGAAGCTAGTCAAGATAAGATTGAAGCCTTATCCAGGAAATATGTCATAAGTTTCAATCATGATGCCAAAACTATACAAAAGAACAAAATGGCTTCTTTGTACAGCAGCCACTGATTAATCAAAGCTCCGTAAATTAATAAAATGAATTAAATCGAATGGAAGAAGGTGTAATAAGGATCTTGATGACGTATTGTTGATTGTTCTTCAGGGTAAAGCTGTACGAAGCAGACAGTCTGGTAGCGGACTCTGGGTTCCTCCGAGACACAACGATGAGAGGTGGAAGGATCGGTCTGTTCTGCTTCTCACAAGAAGATATCATCTGGGCCAGAATAACCTACAAATGTAATGGTAAGTCAGTCCGATCTCTAGACATTGGTGTCCAAGGTGTCGAAGGGGTGCAAAAACAAGCGTCAGCGGGGAGCAAAATTAATGGCAAAGCCGTTTATGTCCCAATCTTAAAGCTAATCTTGAGCTCTGGTATGGGCATCATACTTATGTCGGGAGAACATAAAAATGATAATAATAATATACCGTACTTTATCTAGCGCATATCACAAGATGTCTCTATGCACTGTAATTCATTCGGGATTGACTGTTTGAACCAGTAACATAAAAACAACCGTTCAAAACTTGCTGGAAATCATCTTCAATAAAAACCACAACTCTCAATTGCACGTAGTGACCTGTGTTTATAAGCACATGGTGTCGGGTCTACTTACCTTGAATTTCTTATCTTTCTATATGCTCATTACTCAGCCCCTATACAAAATCGGTCGGCCCATATTATTTATTTGTAATCTTGAATATTCAGTGTAAGTTTTGTTGGATTATTTGATAATTTATTTTTTACCATTGCCAGAACTTATCCTTTTCTTTAAGAGCTGAACTGAGATTGAGGAGGGGGTATTAGGGAGCACCTTCCCCACCCCCTGGTGTAAAAAATGCATATAAAAATATTGTCATTCTATGTTGAACATGGTAGGCCCACAATGGTTAGTTTTACATAAGCGAAATCCTTTATATTTCCCTGATCAATCAACGTATGCCAGTATACTTTTAACAACGAGCCAATTTAGGTGCATTATTGAATTCTTTGATATTTATGATTTGAATTTAGAATTCATTACTCTTCCATTAACGCAACTTTCTGAATTTCTTTTCCCTTGACAGATGATATACCGGAGGGTGTTACCTTCTGAGGGGCGAAACCATCTCCGTCCTGAAAGCGACTTGCCGACAATATAAATCGTATTCAAGCCATCATCGTAAAACATCCAACAAACCTTTACAGAAAGAAGAGTAACACTTTAATTATGTACTTCTGGACAACCGAAAAAACTCCTAATTTCTGACGTCAGGACGAGGGGGAGTTTGGCGTAATTTAGTCACTGGCCGAATGCCCATTTTTACCTGTAATTTGCACAAAATTTGACTTGACGTGGATCATTGATATTAGGATTTACATTTGTATGATGCTTTTAAGAAGAGAGGAAGGCAGTTTGTTGCCGAATTGACGAATGGTCTTAATTCATAGCCGAAGAACTTTTAAGAGCAATCTCACTGACGATTGCATAGGAAAGGAGAAATATTTTATGCAGAGTGTAAAAATTAAAGTGTAAAACTTGTATTCTAATCATTTTTTAACTGCTCCTGGATCAGGATTTTTTCTTATTATGCCACCTTGCGTTGGAAGTACTTGAGAAAAATATTATTTGATTTATAGATTTATGTATTTGACTTCTTTCATAGAAATTAAAGAAAAGTAAACTTTGTGAAAACGTTTTTTTTTCCTTCTTCCTTTTTTTCTTCTACGATATCTTTAGATCTTGTTATTTCATAAAATATATTTTAATTAACTCTATGTTTTGTCTAAAAGGATTGTTTGGCGTTCTCTGAATATTTTTCTTCTAAAGTACGCTAATTCAGTATGAAACATGGTTGATTTACACCCAAAGGAATAATTGAGAATTTTTTAAATATAGAATTTATATTTTTTCTTCTTATCGTAAAGGTGAAATTAAACCCAGCTCATGTGGTGAAATGACGGTGAATAAAGTAAGAATCAATGAATTTGTCAGAGTGTTCAAGCGAACAAAAGAGTTATTTATGTTTTGAATATTAATTACATTATGATGATATTAATACAATTTTAAAGAGGCAAGTTTAATCGATATAGAAACGCAGCTTAAACATAAATTTAAGTTATAACATGGAAATATCACTAAGGTCACAAACCTGTTTGATATTGATATATGTAATATTTTTATCGTGCAATTGATGAGTTTTACTTCTTTATGTAAGTACAGACGTACGAATAGGGCAGGGTTTAGGCGACATCCGGTTTGTGTCATTTAATTAATTTATCTATTAATTTGTTTATTATACATATTGTACATATGTTTGAGAATGATTAGACAATGTAAATGTGCATGTATTTGTGTTGAAATTAGTTTTAATACTCAACGACAGCCCTAAAATGTATTGAAATATTCAAAGGATCTAAACACAGATTTTGTGAAACTTTATTTGTTAGGTCAAATTAAAAAAAACATAAATATTCAACAAGTTTCAGAGAAAAGCAGTTTTTGTAATGATTGAAAAGAACAATGTACGTTAGTTAAACTACATTAATCAAAATATTAATTATACTTCAAGTATCTAAAATATGATTTTGTAATCATTCTAAAAATGTATATTGAGCTCGAAATAATGCAACAATGAAATAATCCTGAAATAAAAAATGAAGACGATCATTGTTTTGTCTAGGGGGGGGGGGGTCCATTAGTTTGGTTGCACAAAATAGAGAAGAAAAATATTCATTACCTTAGCTTCATGCTCTCCCCCTTTGAAGTTGCAAATGCTTATTCTGAACTTTTCGACTGTACATTTTCTGACTTCTACCGATTGTCCCTGATGACATTTCCTGAATCTTACATCTTATCTATAGATTATCTTTATCATGCTTATGAACGCGTTACGTATGAACATATAATTAATTGTTCTAATTGACTTTTTATCGATCTGTACTTCTTTCTGTTTGGAAAATTGAATAAGAATATAAAGTACTTTCCAACAAAGATTTTAGTCTGCTATACATTTATTTCATTTTGCGTTTCAATGTTTTGCTTATTTTATTATCATTAAAAAATACAGCTTTTGATGACGACTTGACGAGTGAATACATTCACTTAATAACATTTTTTACTGTTTCCTACCACCTGAGAAGTAATGAGGTTAAAAGGCAATCCAATCCTTGTGATAATTTCATTCGACTGTATGAAAACGGAAAAAGAAGAGAAACAGATTGGCGACCGTTTGAAATTAAGCGCAGCAATAAGAAGAAATTTAACAGTGTTTGAAATATGAGATCGATAAGATATGCGAATCTCAATCGGCAATTTGGTCGCTGGATTGTGACGTTTGCCGTTTGTCGGGTAAAAAAACACCCATATATTTCCCTTTTTCCTCCCAAGCGCCTTCTCCCTTGAGGCAGCACTCAAAATATATTGTGGATATCATATTATTAAAGGTTATGTAAACAGAAAAGAAACTTCAGAGTCATAGCTTTTGACAAGTTGACATTTTTGTCATTTTGTGTGTTAGGACAAATGGGAAAGTTGTCCGGTACTTCGTCACCGTGAATACCGATTCAGTCAATTTGAAGCGCCCATACCTTTAGTGATTACAAGCTTCGAAAAAATTCATGACTTTCTCATTTTTTTTGGTCCGATTTCGCTCACACTTTAACCAGTCTGCTTTTCTTATTCGTCTCCTTTCTTTTAGTAGTATACTATTAGGGTCGTATTTCCTTTTAACATCTGATGTACTTCATTTTTCAAATCAACACATGCGCCCCTCTCAAGACAAAAATGGACAAATGCGCAGATGATTTCCGTCAATATTTTCAAACAAATATTTGGCATTTAAAATATGTGGTTGGCAGCGAATTACAATCAAACCATCTTAATACACTGTTTGCAAAAATATGCTAGGTATAATTTTTATGCATAACAAACGTCATTTGGACGTACTCGATAATACCATGAAGGGGCGTCGGGGGAGATTTTGAGGTGTGGGGTGATCCTCCTTTAAATTACTTAATTTATTAATTAAATTAAATCAAATTCATTTAAATTAAAAATTTTGACAGTTTGTAAATTTTATTTCAAAAGAATGGAGAAAACAGAAAACCTATTTCACCTTCTCTTTGGCGTTAAGTGTATCGGCCCACTTTCTGGGCAAGTGTTCTCCCCGAACCATTCTCAAGTTCAATGTTCCAACGCCGCCTCTACTTTTAATGCCCAGGGTGTTTGATATTCAAACTTAAAAGGTGTTCACAAGACTGTTCAAAATTCCACGAATAAGAAGGTTTTCTAAGAAAATTATCTGAATAAAATTATCCAGTTCGATCTGAAATCCACCTAGAAATGCCTAAAAGAGGGCAAAAACTGGTTGTTGTGCAATTTACAGTTTACAAATTATTATGTTAGCTAGCTGGAGTTGGGGGGGGGGGGGGTATTGGTGTAGAATTCAACTTGTGTTCTGAAAAACAGGAGGTAATTTTGACGTCCTCGAACAGTCATGTTTTACACCTTTTAAAGGCAAAGTATATGACACTACCTCAGCGTTACGTATTCTGCCATCTGCTGCTCACAATGTCCCGATGTGATCGACAGCCACGTCCCACAAAGCATCACCAACTGCATAACGGCGCGTGTTGGTGATCGAGGGGGTGGGGGGGGGGGCAAAACAGGGGGGGGGGGTTAATTTTGATATCCTCGAACGGTCATGTTCACATCTTTGACAAACAGAGTGAACACCACGGGTTTCCATGTCAATAAGACCTCTGTATCCAGACGTCTTTAGGCTGGTTGGCAGGACTCTAACCGCTCTAGAAGTTTCCTGACACCATTCTTGAGTTGAATGAATTCTTCTTGAGCTCGATACGCGTCCTGTAACATGCGATCCATCGCCTCCTGCTCCCGGGCAAGGTCCGTCAGGAGCTCGTTGACTTCACGGCGACAGAGGCGACCTCGACGACTACGGACCTTTAAACGATACAAGAACATATAATGAAATGCTAGTTAGATTACTAGAGGGTCAATGAATATTCTTCAAGCAATTTTCATAGAATGGATTTAAATTTAAGGTCTGTAAAATACATTAGTAAACATTTTCTTAACTTGGCCTGGGTGTTATAAAAATGAATATATTCGTAATAGCATGTTGGGATACAATTATACGAAGAAAAAATATGCATAAATTATACTTGTAACTGCTGATCTTCACGTAATGTATCTAACAACTCTTAAATAAGATATCCCGTAAAACAATGAATTCGACTTTTTGAATTATGAATATAATTTCAAACATAGTCTATATTATTTTTCATGAAGTATTGTAAAACAGCACAACGACCACAGAAGGTAATACTGCTAATGATACCACTTGACGACTTACGTATTCAAAGTGATTCTCGTCCACATCACTCTTCTGTCCGACCAGCGCCTTGACATCGTCTATGCATCCAGCATCCAGAGGAATACCACCTCTCTGTGTCAGTATTTTTCTTGTTTCATCTCCATCTTCATCTCTTTTAACGTTAAACGTAGCTGTATGTTTGACTGCCAATGAATTCGTTTCATCCAAAGTTTGAGAGTAATGTGTAGGCAATTCGGGAGAGTCCTCAAATCGAGTATCGACAGCTGGGTATGCTTCTGTTGAGCGGTGGTTTGTGTTATAAGACACCTCACCGTTATAGAGGTTGTCCAAATGTAGTTCATTCAGCTTCACCTGGTGCCTGGCTAGAAGATCTTGCCAGTGTCTCTCATCTTCCTTCGGGGGATCCGAGTCTTGATCATTGTCGCTCCGTGATTCCTGATTGTATTTGACAAAACAATCGGATTCTTTGGTAATCAGGTCACCATCAAAGGTATCGGGTGTATCCGTCATCTCATCTTCCTGCAGAGCCCCAAGCTTGACATTCTTCCTGTTCTTCAGACTGGATGGATCTAGTATTCCCTCCAGCTCTTCCTGAGAACTCGACATATCCCCTTCGCTGTCGTCTACTTCATAGCTTCCAGGACTAGATTTTGGAGGGCTTGGGAGGGTCAGAATTTTGTCTATGGTGTCAGCATGTGAGTAAAATTCGCTGGACGAGCTCTCCAAGCTTTCAAATCGCTCGGCATCCCCCGTGCTGTAGCAACGGCGACGGTGACTCTCAGTCCCTTCTCGTATGGCCCGAGGCAATTTTGTTGGTGACCTTGCCCTGAAGTTGGAAGTCTTCTTTGCCAGTTTGGTATCTCCGCCGTTCTCATCGACAACCGTATAGACCGTTTCTTCAACGACGTCATTCTCATCGATAACTCGAAACACAACGCTGTCCTCTTCTGGTTCGAATTCCACAATGCAGTTCGACTCAATATCAGCATCATCAAACTCTGCGTCCCTTCTATCGCATTCATCGCACTCGTCGCAGTCCTCATATTCATCATCACTTCTATCTTCTTCTGGTTCCACGATCTCAAAACTGAAGACCATCCCCGTTTCGCAATCAACTTCAAATTCGTATTTGCGCCGTCCTGTATTATGGTGCTTGCGCCGTTGTTCCATGGTTTCTGAAACATCGGGTTGAGTCGAAGACGGTTTATCTTCTAAGACATCGTCTTCGGAGTCATATTCATCCTCCATGACGTCATCGTTTTCGGGAAAGGATGTGTTCATATAATTCTCGGCTGCCCTCTCAAACTTTCTCTCTCCTTCCGTCATGGACACGTCGAGTGGAGGACTCATATCTTCAACATTCTTGTTCGCAATTCTACCTCGCAGCCTTACTAATCCCTTCTCTCTATCACCTTCCTCGCTATCACCTCCAAAGTGTCTCTCATTACACGATAGAGTAGAATGAATCTCTTCAGAAATCAATTCCATGTATGAATCATCCGTAGCAGTGAAAACAGGTTCATTTTCAAAACCATTCATACCTGCTTCTTTGTCCACCTTGGATAAATCGCCCTCCTGCGCTTTCTTCCACAATGGACCGTTCTCTACCAGCTCTTTCACAGCTCGCACCAGAAGGTGGTCCACATAAAGATTGATGTGACTGCAGAATTGCTCCTCATGTTCAGCAGCGTTCACATACCCGGACTCAGTGGACTGGTATTCAGTTGAAACCAGTGCTTGTTTCCGGTTGTTCTTGCGAGACGATTTTCCACGTGGTGTCTTCTTGGTTTTGAGGGTGGTTAGTTGACAGATTGAAGATTGGGTCGAGGTGGTGGCGATAGCTTCCTTTTCACTTCCTTGGCATTTGACTTCATCCTCATCAGTCAAAATATCTCTGTCGGTCGACTGAGAGAAGTGGTCGGCGTCCCCCATAGTGAGATTTTTCTCTCTTGTTTCTTCAAACTGTTCTTAAGAAGCCGATGCAGTCAGCAACGGGAGGCAAAAACACAGACGAAAGCGTAAACTCTGTAAATTGTAGATTAGACTGTCATAAAGCTCCAACTTGAAGTAAAACTTTCCTTTAAATTAATAATAGAAGAATGAACGAGAAAAAGCAAATTCAAAGCAAAGTGCTTCAATCTAGTTAGCGCGCAGCACATGCTATTGACACGTGTACTTTTTAGGTTGCGCACCAAAATGCCATGACAACGCGCTGATTTGCCAGCGCGCCAGTTGCATATCTCTGACGACATAATAGTAAACGAATTACGCAAAAGCGCACAGTAATGTACTGTGACGTAATATAAGATTGCCATCTCGTTATCAATATTTTACGTATAACAATATTATGATGATGCACAGGTTTAAGTGCGTCGGTGGAAATTGTGTGCACAAGGTACCTTTAAATGGTTTAAGACCAAATTTAAAGGTACCACGTGCACACAATTCCACCGACCCACAAATTGAACATGTGCATCACCTTTTCTATAAAATGGGGCCCTTAAAATCGTCAACAATGTTATTTTACAGATTTACCGGGTGCATGGCAAATCATGTTTTTCGGTAATAACCGGAAAGCATGATTTCATGAAAGTTATCATGAAATTTAAAAAAAAAAAAAAAAAAAAATTGTCAGTGCACAAAAAACTGTAAACTTAAAAAAAATATATATATATATTTTTTTTTAGATTATAGATTTTTTTTTTTTTAAACAGATTATAATAATAAAAAAACACGAAAAACAAATAAAAGGATATCAGTGTTATCGATCGCCGATATCGCGTGCATCCATTAAAAATAATTACATGGTAATTGACCAATCCGATTGCAGGGATTCTTCTACCCATCTTATAATAATAGCTACATTCGTGTTTACAGAATTTCAGAGAGAATATATGAGGTCAAAAACCTCATCTTAAATTATACTTCAAATACATGCAACTAATTCAACCCGAATGCCAGCTAGCATGACGTATAAGGTAGGTCAAAGGGAGAAGTTATTCACCCTAATGTCGATCGTCTAGCCAAAAACAATAGAGAAACCAAACATTTATTTTGGTGTTCCTTTTCCTGGCGCCTATCATTCTATAAATGGTATAGAAAAGGTTTGTTGAACCTGAATCCGATGTTGGCTGTAAGTAGTTTGCTTGTACAATATAATGATACAGAAGCTCCAAATATAAGGACTGTTATAGATAACTCAAAAATCCAATATTTTGAGGTAAGGGGGCCCTCGCTGAATCTTAAACGTACGTACCACATAATACAGGAATTTGAGGGATATGCGCCCATGCAGGGGCGTCGCCAAAGGGGGGGGGGTGCGACACCCCCCTTCCCACCTGTCAGGATATTGTCGGTAAAATTGCGCTGCCGTCGGGAAAAAAGAGAAAAGGGGAGGGAAAAAAGAGAGGGAAAGGGAAAGAAAAGAAAAAAAGAAAAGGAAAAGAAAAGAAAGAAAGGAAAAGAAAAGAGAAGAAGGAAAGAGAAGAAAAAAAGAAGGAGGAGAGGAAAAAAAGAAAAGAAAGAAAAGGAAAAAAAGAAGAAAAAGGATAAAAGGAAAACAAAAGAAACGGAGGATGAAAGAGAGGAGAGAGAGGGGAGGTAAGAGCATGAGAGAGGAGGAGTGGGAGCAAAAGAGAGAGGGGTTGTTGGGTGGAGTCGTCTCGTCGAGGGAGCAAGAAAGACTGTGTCGGTATTCTTGCTCGATCCTCGTACTATATCAAAGCAGAAGTTTGAAGTCGGTGAGATGTATATTGTCGGTCGGCCGACAAGTTTTTTTTCCCTACGAACTGTGACTTTTTATCCGCTGTGACGACGAGTGTGACTACAACTACAATACTTGTATTTTCTCGGAGTTTCCCTTTCCTATAATATCAGCTAAAGAAATCGGAGGTTTAAAATTTTCGGGGAAACTATTTTCAAACAAGGATTAACAGTCAACAACGGTACGACGAATCGTCTTCCTTTCCCTATATTTTGGTAAAACGCCCAAAATTCCGCGCTTTGCGCGGGCGGGGTAAACTTCATTTAGACGAGTCGAGAACGGTACAACGAATCGTCTACTTTCTCTAATAATTTAAGGAAACGTCAAGCTTCAGCGCTTCGCGCTAAAGGGGAAACTGAATTCAGACAATTAGGGCTTATTAAGAGTCTTCGCGCGGGCGGGGTAAACTTCATTTAGACGAGTCAAGAACGGTACAACGAATCGTCTTCTTTTTTTAATCATTTAAGGAGACGTCTAAGCTTCCGCAAATTCGCGCGGGACGGGGAAAAACTGAAGTCAGACAAGGATTAAGAGTCGAGAACAGTACAGCGAATCGTTTGCTTTCTCCATAATTTAAGGAAACGTCAAAAACTTCCGCGCTTCGCGCGGGAGGGGGAAACTTCATCAGACAAGGATTAAGAGTCGAGCACGGTTTAACGAATCGTCTGTTTTTTCTCCTAATCTAATGAAACGTCAAAGCTTCCACGCTGTGCGCGGGAGGGGAGAAACTGAATTCAGACAAGGATTAAGAGTCGAGAACAGTACAGCGAATCGTTTGCTTTCTCCATAATTTAAGGAAACGTCAAAGCTTCAGCGCTTCGTGCTAAAGGGGAAACTGAATTCAGACAATAAGGACTTATTAAGAGTCGAATACGGTACAACGAATCGTCTTCTTTCTCTGATAATTAAATGAAACGTCAAAACTTCCACGCTGAGCGCGGGAGGGGGAGAAACTGAATTCAGACAAGGATTAACAGTCGAGAACGGTACAATAAATTGTCTTCTTTTCCTAATAATTTCATGAAACGTCAAAGCTTCCACGCTGTGCGCGGGAGGGAAAAAAACTGAATTCAGACAAGGATTAACAGTCGAGAACGGTACAGCAAATCGTCTTCTTTTTATAATAATTTAATGAAACGTCAAACCTTCCGCGCTTCGCGCGGGTGGAGGGAAACTGAATTCAGACAAAATAATTAGGGTTAAGAGTCGCGAACGGTAAAATGAATCGTCTGCTTTCTCTAATAATTTAAGGAAACGTTTAAGCCTCCGCGCTTCGCGTGAGAAGGGGGAACTGAATTCAGATAAATAGGGCTTAATGAGAGTCGGAAACTGTACAACGAATCGTCTTCTTTCTATAATTAAATCAAACGTCTAAGATTTTCGCGCTTCGCGCGGAAAGGGGGGAAACTGAATTCAGACAAGGATTAAGAGTCGAAAACGGTTTAACGAATCGTCTGTTTTTTTTTCATAATTTAATGAAACGTCGAAGCTTTCACGCTGTGCGCGGGAGGGGGAGAAATTGAATTCAGACAAGGATTAACAGTCGCGAACGGTACAGCTAATCGTCTTCTTTTTATAATAATTTAATGAAACGTCAGAGCTTTCGTTACTTGGCGCGGAAGGGGGGGGGAACTTCACTCAGACAAGGATTAACAGTCGAGAACAGTACAGCGAATCGTTTGCTTTCTCCATAATTTAAGGAAACGTCAAAGCTTCAGCGCTTCGTGCTAAAGAGGAAACTGAATTCAGACAATAAGGACTTATTAAGAGTCGAATACGGTACAACGAATCGTCTTCTTTCTCTGATAATTTAATGAAACGTCAAAACTTCCACGCTGAGCGCGGGAGGGGGAGAAACTGAATTCAGACAAGGATTAACAGTCGAGAACGGTACAATAAATTGTCTTCTTTCCTTATAATTTCATGAAACGTCAAAGCTTCCACGCTGTGCGCGGGAGGGAAAAAAACTGAATTCAGACAAGGATTAACAGTCGAGAACGGTACAGCAAATCGTCTTCTTTTTATAATAATTTAATGAAACGTCAAACCTTCCGCGCTTCGCGCGGGTGGAGGGAAACTGAATTCAGACAAAATAATTAGGGTTAAGAGTCGCGAACGGTGAAATGAATCGTCTGCTTTCTCTAATAATTTAAGGAAACGTTTAAGCCTCCGCGCTTCGCGTGAGAAGGGGGAACTGAATTCAGATAAATAGGGCTTAATGAGAGTCGGAAACTGTGCAACGAATCGTCTTCTTTCTATAATTAAATCAAACGTCTAAGATTTTCGCGCTTCGCGCGGAAAGGGGGGAAACTGAATTCAGACAAGGATTAAGAGTCGAAAACGGTTTAACGAATCGTCTGTTTTTTCTCATAATTTAATGAAACGTCGAAGCTTTCACGCTGTGCGCGGGAGGGGGAGAAATTGAATTCAGACAAGGATTAACAGTCGAGAACGGTACAGCAAATCGTCTTCTTTTTATAATAATTTAATGAAACGTGAGAGCTTTCGTTAATTCGCGCGGAAGGGGGGGGGGGAAACTTCACTCAGACAAGGATTAACAGTCGAGAACGGTACAATAAATCGTCTTCTTGTCCTTATAATTTAAGGAACGTCTAAGCTTTCGCGCTTCGCGCGGGAGGCTACCATCGTACACGCCCCATCGATGCCTCTATCTAAATTTACTGGTCTTGCTCGAAGTCACTCGCTCTATAAAAAAGGCAAATTTCTATCACCGTTCTGAAAATCCAGATTATCAAACAACGGTACTTGAGCACCCCCACACCCTCCTTCCCCCCCCCCCCCGCGAAGAAAATAAAAATCAGCGCCTCTGCACGTTACGAATGGGAGAAGGGTAGATCTGTCTAGAAGTCGCCGGCTCTAAGAGTAGGCAGGTTCCTGTTACCCTGGAGACATCTGAAGGTCAGGATCCGTGTGAACCCATCCTTGAAAGCCTCGTCTGCAAGAGCGTAACAAATCGGGTTGATCAGGCTGTTCATATAGCCCCAAAATATCACCAGCTGCATGTCAAGAGAGAGTGCAGGTTTATAGTTAAACATAAGGATAATGATCAGGGGGTGTTCACAAAGACCCCCAAGTTGAACTTATCTCTAAGTTATACTTAAAAACTATGGAGAGCAATTTGTAGCATTTAAATAAAACATAACAAAAAGCGACGATTTCATTTTTTTTACTTTTCATAAAAGTTTTTTGATTTCCATCTGTAAAAACATTTTTACAAAGTAGAAACATGCAATTTCATGTAAAATATAAAACAAAATTGGGATAGCATATACATGTGAAATGAATTAGTACAAAACAGAATAAGGTACAGCTGTAAAAAAAAAAAAAAAAAAAAAAACAAGAAAAGGTTTTGTCTGGACATTAAATTTCCTCGATAATAGAAAATATGAATGATTTGAATCGACATGTTATGCCTTTTGAAATAACTTGATGTATATCAATATCAAATAACAAAATGTTTTCAAAGATGCTAAAGGCTCTCCATAATTGTTAAGTCCAACTTAATGATAAGTTCAACTTACGATCTTTGTGAAAGACCCCCTGGAGTTAACTAGCGCTCAGTAATAAGCACCGTCTCTAAGCGCTTTACAGATGTTGTTATTACCGAATCGGATTCATTCACGAACAATGTACACCATTTCCACTTCCCTGGGAGTATTCCAACCATATGGCTTCAAAAATTAAATAGTAGAAATAAAAATGAATTCTATTTACAGGGACAAAACAGAAAGTTAGTACCTCTTTAAAGGTTTGTTTGCATGCAGTAATTATAAAAAGACTGAACTTACTAAAAGAGTAAAACATGGAGGGTCATTTAGTTAAAGCTATGCTTGTGTCTCAGAGTTATAGGCCCAAAAATATAGTTGATTTTAGTATAGTCTTTGACAATAGAGGTAATGAACAATAACATATGATAATATATATCTGTAATATATATATATCTGTAAAGCGCTTTGAGAGGGCTTTCGGTCCTGAAAAGCGCTATATAAGAACAAGGTATTATTATTATTATTAACAATGTCAATCACTGCAATATAATTCGTATTCCAAACAAAAAGGCACGAATTTTGGAGTCAATTTCATTATGATAATATAACAGATTACATTATCATTTATTTGAAGACAAAAAAATACATTACATGAAAAAACTTGAACATTTATGGATATATTTGAAATAAAAGTCAGCTATCTCGTACCAGAAATGGCTGACAAGTTATTAAACACTGGTTATCTAAAAAGCAAATAGGTTGTGACGGAAGAGCAAGACTTCAAACTTTCGATATTTAGAAAAAAAAAAAAATAAAAATTTGCAGTCTGAAACTTGAAAGACATTCTCAAGCCTGGGAACAAAATATCTTTATGGAATATTTAAACTATATTATAGCTTCTGCTGCTTTTTCTCAAAAACGTTTTAGTGAGAAAGCAACGGTATTCAGGATTCTTGTGATGAGACCCGTAATCCAGATATATCTGGATTATGAAAAGTAAATGCCATGAAGAGATCGCAAGAAAAGGTTAGTAAAAATACCATATATGAGAAGATTTTTTTTTAAGTTTTATGATAACACAAGGTTTATTGAACAATAAAACACTCTCTTCGTGAAACGTAGAACGGATGACAAGGTTGGCATGTATTTATTGGATTCTAAAGCTTGCTTGATAATATTTGAAAGTGCGTTTTTTTACCATCCTTGAGCATGCTGAAAAGATCATAAATGGATATGCCACTTAAAAATCAATCAAAAATGTATTCAAATATCTTTTTTAGTGCAAAATGTCGTTGACGTGGGATCTATATCTCGGCAAAGAAATGATTTCAATTTATCCAACCATCGTTTTTCGCATCTCGCCTTTCCCCATGAATAAAAACCTCGATAACTGAACGACAGCTCTGTGGCTTGGTGAAAGATAAGTTTCCTATTATAGTCGATATAGTACTACGGTTAACTTTGGTTTTAGAAAATTTATAACGCAAAGAAATACTTCACTAGAAGAAATCGTTACTTTTCTCTTTCCTTATCTTTCTTAAAGAGGCCTTGTGAGACTAAACAAAATGTATCAATTGCCATGATGGAAATTGAACGAAGGAAGACTTTAAGAAAGCGAGAAAAGCAAGAAAACTAAGAGTTTTCTTATTACCTTCTCTTTCTCCTCCTTCTCTCTCTCTCTCTCTCTCTCTCTCTCTATCCCACTCTCTCTTTCAGTCTCTATGTCTCTCTCTCTCTCTCCCTCTCTCTCAGTCTCACAGTCTCACTCTGGCTCACCGAGAAGACTTCTATCCTTTCCGGGTCACAAACTTTCTTGTTTGTGCGTGACTGTTTTCTAAATATTTGTTTTTAAGTATTAAAGAGTAGGCTTCTTTATTCGGCACTTTGCAATTTTTTGTTTATCATTGTCTGCTAAGCTTACAACTTCTGTCATGTTTATTTATTTTTGTCTTATCTAATATCTAGTTTCTCTTCATTTCTGCCGTACTGTTCTGAACTGGTTTGAACCACCCCTTGGTAAACCTGCCACAGAGTGATGCAGATAGGTTCCGAAGCAATTTTACACCGAATTTGGCCAGTACGATTACAGTGGGTAGCAACATGATTCATGTTGCTTTTATCTATTAACTCTTTTAAAAGGCAATCTGGCAAAAAAAAAATGCACCCTATATCAATTGATTAGAGGCGATCAGCATAACTTCTATGTATACACGTTTTCGTTTTTGGGCAAAGCGTTTTGTTTCGTATATTCTATTATTTATTTACTGAAGCCTTCTCATATAAGTATTGGTGTGTACGGCAAGGTTCTGGAATCATCAAAATGATACGAAATTTTGCCCAGTCTTGGTTAAGTCACAAGCACTGGTCACAGAACGATGCATATGGGAATACAAAACCATGTTGCATAAAAATCCGTCCCGATTGTATAATGTTACATGCCATATGGTAGGTATCGGGAATTGGAGACCACCGAGCTTGAACCCATCACTATCGTCTCCCCGTGTTGGCTCCAATATTGCTATAGAGCCATCTGTGGCCTTGAACAACACTACTGCATATATCCAATTCATTTCGAAGACTTCAATGCGTTCTTTCTCCGAGAAAATTTGCAAAATTGAGCAAGGTATGCAATTTTGATCGTAACATTTTGCTCTGATATAAAAACACAATTTTCACTGAAGGTTGTGGTGTATGCAGATACTTAGGGGTGGCTCTTAAAAAGTAGTTTTAAAAGGAAGTTTATGAAGTGTGCCAACCATCACATAAAACTTATGGCCATTGTGTGTTGTGAATAGGTGTTGCAATGCAAATTATGAATGGTGTCTGATCAGAAATGTGTGCAGGCAATGGGGGACACCAGGTCCAAGATGGGGGTCGTTTGTTGTGAACGTCGAGTATGCCGAGGACAGTCAATGACCCAATGCTGGTTGGTTAATTGTCCATGTACAGAAATATTTTGGGCCACATTTAATTAATTTATTTCTGTTTGATTTTTTTCTTTTGCATTTTTACAAACATATAACAAAAAAAACATTGCAAATTTTACCCATTTTTATTTAAAGAATATAATGTCGAATAAAGTAACTAATCGAAAACATCAAACAGGAGGGTTGACAAAGTAAGCAAAGCTTGATAGCATGACTAACCTCAATGGATACTTAATAATACGTATATGGTGGAACAAATATTGGTAAATGGGTAAAGAGAGAGAGAGAGAGAGAGAGGGAAGAAAAAAGAAAGAGGGGGGGGGGTGTACATCAAGATTCACAGATGTATGTGGTACAATGTAGTTGGATTTCAATTTGATATATGAAGATAAAAAAGAGGATGCACATTTGAATATTGAGTGGCCAACTTGGGATGTATTATATAACGAGAAGACTCACGAGGTTTCTGGACAATATGAATAAAAATGTGAGATCAGCGAGCTGGTTTATATAGACTGTAAACCTTTGTTTGTATACAAAACAGGTTTTGGGAGTATCCCAAGTGGGCCACATTGTTTAAAAGTCGTTTCAAAATTACAGTAAGGTCACTAGTAACATGTATCTCTTTCAAAAAGTGTTTGAACTCACTCTAACAATCCCATTATCATTTAAATAGTATTTAAAATGTCTTGATTTGTAACTGTCCCTTATTACCTACACATGTAGGTAATGAGAGACCTTTGAGGATGACGTCATTAATCATTGTTATCTTATTAATCAGTTACATCATGACCACAATTTTGTTACCAAATAAAGAGAAGAAGTTACTGAAGACAATACACAACTTTCTGTACGTGTAACATTTTTCATGTTTATGTAAATTATGCAAATGTGCTTAAGGGTCTCCAATTCCCTACCCCAACCCTATTTAGAATGTTAAGGCATTTGAAGAGCCATGCTTTTCAGGGAAGATTTTTTTCTCTGATGTTCTTCCACACTTGCATAATACAATGATAAACTCACAAATTATTTGTCACCTCTTCCCAGAACTCAACCTCCTCTTCAAATAGCAAAACCATGGAGTTCTTTCCTCATTATCAAATACTTTACGAGAAAGAAAAATACAAATAACCTACATTGAAAGTGACCTATTTTGAATTAAGTAATAATCTTGAGCAGATCATCGCGCGAGCTGAAACTCAATTATGAATCCGTTACATTGGCAAGAAATATATTTCTACTCACCGAATAGATGATACTTGGCACACATGTTTGGCAAAAAGGTGACGTCACGGCAACGATGACTGATGGAAACCAGGCAATCCACATCGCAGTGACAATGAAAGTCAAGATACGCACGCCTGAGAAAGAAAAGGTTTAGATGAAAGAGATATTTGGCATGACCTATATATAATAATAATAATAATAATAATAATGTCTCTAAGCGCTTTACAGATATACTATTACCCCGGTCATTGGATTCAGTGCTTGCCCGCACACACTGCGTGCACAATCAGATGGGTCAACGATGTTAAAATGCTACAGCTGAATAGACAATAATATGGTGATAATAATTTATAAATAACGAAGGCAATAGGGCGATGGTTTCCACTTTTTTCAAACATTTTCACATGTTTTTGTTCTCCTTCAAATTTACTGAATTTAAAAGCTCAAGGGATGTTTACTCCGCTGTAATTCATAACAAAAAAATCACAACTCTAAACCAACCCTTTGCATTTAACCTTACTCTAAACCGAATACCAAGCCTAAACATAAATTTGGCCTAAAACACGATTCAACCAAAAGCCTTCTCGATAATTTTAACTAATTACAACTTATAATTAATGTAGCCGGACACTTTGTCAAAGCACCGGAGAGGCACGAGGGTCACTTAAAAAAACAGCTAATCCCTCCAGGCACAGACGACTCTGAAACACATGGCGATAATTACTTTTAAAAACAATCAACAGATCCGGAACAGTTTAGTCGAGACAACCTGATAATATCACTCTTTGAATATTACAACAGTCATTAAAGGGAAATCTCAACCATGATAACAGAATACTTTAAAGGAAAGCAAACTGGTGGAAGTTTGAATGAAATTGGACGAAAAATAAGAAAGTTATGAATTAAAAAAATGTGTTATCACAAGTTGAATCGGTAATGTCTGTGGCGGACACATTCCCGTTCGTTCCACACACAAAATGACTACAATATTGATCGGTAAAACATTGATTACTCAAGTGGGTCTTTTCGCTTTCTCTTTATAACAATATTTTATGCTGTCCACGGTATATTTTGAATAGTGTTCCAAGGGAGAAAGCACATAGGCTAAAAACTAGAATGCATATTTATGTTTTTACACGACAAACGGGAGAGTTATTCTCGACCACGTGACAATCCACTGACACAGACTGTTAAATTGACGTTTAGTGATATCATATTTCAATCATTTATACATTTTTCTTTTATTATTGGTCTGATTTGTGTCTAACTTTTACCATTCTGTTTATCTTATGTTCTTGCTTTTGGACTGGGTTGGCTTGCCCTTTCAATTGCTCCTTGACAGAAAAAGGTAGTTTTTTAAAGTATAAATTTACCATCTTACAACTTATTATCTTCGTCCCTGTCTTTATATCTCCTGCAAATCTATAACAATGATATCACCATTTATGTAATGTCTGCTCGCCAAAACAGTTTTGGATTACTTCGGTTAGTTGCATTTCTTACTATTCATTTCAGATAGGAAGTTTAATCCCATGATTAAAACAAATGGAAAGCTGCGATACACGGTGAAATTCCGGTTATGCAAGGTGGTTTATTCTGGGTCAAAGTATCGGGATTTATTTCAACAGTGACGATCATTAATAAGGATAGGTGGACATTTTTAAGGCAAGGGAGCACTTTTGCAATTCATTACTGTCCTTCATTTTGTTGTTTTTCTCTCCCTTATTCATTCAAGCAAACTGTTTTCATCTGATTACTATTGCGATTCAATTATCTACGTTATAACATTTCTTGATTTTTTTTATTGAGTGAATCATTGTTTATTTCATTTGACTTCTAACCCGTTTGCACCCTGGAATGCATTTTCCAGATGAAAGATTTATCAGATACCCGCCCTTCGCTGGATCTATTGGAAAGTCAATACACTGTCGCTCATATAGTTGGAATATTTTTTTTTACACGAATTTATGGAATTATTTTGACAATGATTTATTCCTAATAGGTCTAAATAATAGTATACATTCTCGTATTTTATTGAATAATAATTTGCCAGTGTTTGTTTTGCGAGACTGCTAAATCATGTGTATGCTATTATGCTTATCAAATAGGGGACTTACGCCCTTAAGTCATAAATGACAGTAATGAGGATTAATGCCCTACAAAAGGGCACTAATATGGCACATCGACACGGTTTTGATCCTGGGGCCTCACAGTTACGAGGCCATTGCTTTGCCACTGACCCATGACTGTACGCAGCGGGGGCTAGGGTAGGGGAAAGTTCCAACTATATGAGCGACAGTGTATTAAGTCTCGTACCCCTAGAATGCCATATAAAATATTGTCATCTGCCTTCGTGACAATATTTAGTTTTCAATTGTCAATAAAAGTTTTACATTCTGTCATGATTTTTATTTTAAACGCCGAGCGAAAGCCACTTGAAAATTATACAAAATAGGCCTACATCCATTTTGATTACATCAACATAACTAATTTTCATTGCAATTTAAACAAAAAATATGTCATTATCATTCCATTTTGAATTTCATAAATTATTTACATAACGCATCCTCTTTGTTTTTGTTAATATATCGCGTGGCAAGTCTGTGATATTGCCGAGTACCGCAATTTCTTTGATACACTATGAATAGAATGGAAGGAAATTACGCTGGTCGTGTAATTAATTTGCCCCTCCCATCCACCCTCTAATGAAGGTTCGATACCAATAAAATGTAACATTTTATTTTACACGATTAGACTGGAAATCCTCAATCCCAAAAATATTAATAAATTTGAAACATTTATTTTCCTTTGGCTATAACACAAGGGGTATTCCTTTCTATTCTTAAATGGCTGATAATTACAATTTCTTTACAGTCTATAATAATGAATGATAATAACAATAGTGCTTATAAAGCGCTATAAAAAGCAAAATACAATGATAAACAACTATATGTACATATCAAACAACACAAGAAATTACAAATAAACCTATAAATTACGATGCATATGAAATATACATCAATATGAACAGAGTAAGTTAATCATTAACAAAAAAATTGAATAAATATGTCTTTAACACCTTGTCAACATACCTTTCATGCTCTCTGTACCTATTTCTTTCTTTTTGTTGTCTTTGGCGTTCTCTTCCTTACCAACATCACCCGTCTTCGTAGAGACGGAAACCGATGTCGTTGGTGCACGAGTTCCGAGGTCATTCGGTAGCTCTACAGAGGTAGTCGGCTGCATGATTCCCAATGCAAGTCTCAGTTTTTTCCGCCCCTCGTAGAATTTTCTGATGACGATGTAGATTCTGGCGCAGAGAACGGCGGTTAAAACGAACGGGATGAAGAAGTACGCGACGGGGAGAACGAACCCAGCGACGACGCTTTGAAAGTACAAAGGTTCGCAGACGTCTTTGGGAAAGGGTCGCTGTTCGTTCCCGTGGATGATCTGCCAAAGAGTCGTCACTGGCAGCCAGATGATGACGGGGATAATGTAGCCGATGGCGATGATGAGGATCGCCCGGGGGCGTCGTCGCCAGTGTTGACGATGCCAAAAGGGAGCGGAGACAGCGACGCAACGATCGAGGCTGATTAGGGCGACAAGGAGCACACTGGTATGAGTGAAAGCGTGATCGAGAAAGGTGAAGATGTCGCAGAAGACCTCGCCGAACGGCCATTGTCCCATGATGATGACGATGGCTAACAGGGGCATGTCGACCGCACCAACAAGCAGGTCGGCGATGGCGAGACCCAGGATGAAATAGTTGTTGTAAGTGCGGAGTTTCGGAGTCGTAAAAAACGCCGCGACGACGAGAAGATTACCAAAGACCGTTATGAAGATAATTACTCCTACGATGACTGATAATATTATAATAACGTCGGGAGAGTAGGGACTCGACGGGACGATGTCATCGACGCCCTCCGTAAATGAAACCAAAGTACTCGAATTGGTCAGACCGTTAGGAGATCCTGTTGTATTCTGTACGCCAGACATGGTATTCCCTTGCTTGTAGGCTGATATGATTCACACAATTAGAGCTGAAAATGTCAAGTTGCTTTCATATCTTGTTCCTTACCAATCGGTTTTTATAACTTTTTGTAGGAAAAAGATTTCACTTCTTTATCTTTCACCATTGGAGATGCGAGACAAGATTTAAAAGGGAACAAATTACGCATGCTCAGTTCTGAATACGATTTCTTTGATAGTTACGGGCCAATATTGTGCTAAAAAAAACGATCGAGAGCAAGGCCCCGTCTTATAAAATAAAAATTGTTATCATTATTAGAGTGCGTGATCACATCCTACTTCTGCTACTCATACAGACTAGATTCTAATTGTCGTTTCAATTATTTACATTTGAGTGCGTGCGCTAGCTCATCCAACGTACCCGAAATCATAAACTCGTGCGTAATTCTATTGTACTTATTTGAAGTATGTGAGCAGGCGCGCACACCACTGAGACATATGAAGAAGAAAGGAAAAAAACAGGCGAGGGGGTGTTTAAAAGACAAAGATTAGGGACTTTTAGATTGAGTGGACGAGAACACGACGAACGCCGACTGATCATGCGTGTCAACGTAATCAACTGCCCATGTTGACTACAATTAGAAATCTTTTAGATTTCACTCGACGGTATACATGCATGCAAGAAGTAACACTATGAACATGACAGACAAAGAAAGAGGACAAAATATACAGTTCCTCATTCTACCCTCAACAATAGGCCATTTTCGTAATGTAACCAAATTTAATGCATAAGTCTTTTTGAAGTGCCTCAATACAAATTATTTTATTCACCTGAGAGGAATAATAGTATTTCAATAGTGAGAATGCAACTACATATATTAAGTGTTGCTAGGTAGATCAAGCCATAATGTTTGTCCAACCTGGCAACAACTAATGTATGCAGTTCGGACTCTGTCTATTGGAATACTATTATTCTTATCAGGTGAATGAAATAATCTGTATTGAGGCACTTCACAAAGACTTTTGCATTAAATTTGGTTACATTACGAAAATGGCCTATTGCTGTGGTAGAACATCCCTTCACTGCTATATAAAAATATGTAGAACAGGTGAATATGCATGTGACACCTGTTCTACACATTTGTACATAATAGCAGGGAAGGGATGTTCCTTTGTCTACCTGAGGAACTGAATATTTTATGCGCACGCGGCATATATACTAGTACCGTACTAGATTTAGGAAAATCAAGGTTGACGCATTCTCTATCGCCGACTGAGACGACGTGACGCATGCGCAGTGCCTTAAAATGACGTCACACGTTGCAGTCGAAGCTGTTAACGTGCAAATCTAAAAGTCCCTATTGACTATAAGTTGGACTTAACTATGGCAGGCTGTTCACTGATGCCACTGTTTGTTGTCACCGTTTTAAAGATAAAGACCAGTTCTGGTCATGCGATTGCATTGTGAAAGAAACGTTGTGGAATCGCCAATCACCACCAATCACCACCAACATTATCATCATCACCACCATAATCATCATAACTACCGCCATCATCATCTTCAATACCACAACTACCACAAACCGTTATCCTCATCACCACATCCACCATCAACGGTCAACCAATAACCTTGTTTTTAAACAGCATTACTCTCTCTTAGGTTATCATCGCCCAAGCATTTATTAAAATCTTCTTCTTTTTTTTTTTAAAGCAAGTGGAATATTAAAAGCTCGATTTCTCTCAATACTATTTCAAAATATTTGGTTCTTCTTGATCGTGTACCTTTGGAAGCCAACTAAAACCTAGATTGGAGGAAAAACAATGGGTTGAAAAAAACTAGTATGGCAGTCAAACGAGGTGATCTTGTTCATACTCAATGGGACAATTGAACTGATGAAAGTTTTACTAGTCTTACCTGGAATAGGCAGCGTTTTTCAACCCTTTTTTAGTCTCGGCATCCTTTTAAGTCGAGCACGGTTCAACGAATCGTCTACTTTCTCTAATAATTTAATGAAACGCCAAAACTTCCGCGCTTTGCGCGGGAGGGGGAGAACTGAATTCAGATAAGGATTAAGAGTCGAGAACAGTACAACGAATCGTCTGCTTTTTCTCATAATTTAATGAAACGTAAAAGCTTTCGCGCTTCGCGCGGGAGGGGGGGGGGGGAACTTCATTCAGACAAGGATTTACAGTCGAGAACGAAACAATAAATAATCTTCTTGTCCTAATAATTTAAGGAAACGTCTAAGCTTCCGCGCTTTGCGCGCTCTTTAAGTGATTCGCTTGTTTACTACCGCCCCTCCCTAAAATAAGATCCTAACTCCGCGGTTGCATTACAATATATAGCTATGATTCTGACTAAGTTGACGAAATAAACGAAAAATGCCAAACCCATGTAATACTAGTTCTATGGTAAAATCCCGGCAAAATTCCAGTTACCGGGAAAATAGTTCAGTCTTGCTGAAATACCCATTGGTTTGAGCGAGCGCGGATACTATACATTGTGTGTGTGTGTGTGTGTGTGAATTGGTCGTAAGCAAGAACACCAAAAGGGTACGTGAATTAGTCTTATTATTAGCCGTAACTCCGCCCGCTCTTTAAAGGTACTATGTCCCTTTTGCAGCCAACCTCAAATGCTGTAGAACTTTGCAGGAATTATGAATATGTCATGTATGTCCTATCTGTGAAATTTAAACCTTAGCAGTGTCCTCATATTCAAATTATGCAAGGAAACCCGTTTACTTGCTAGACTTCACTGTCAGACACTATTGAGTGACTGACTGGCTTTCTTTCTTCTTTGGTAATAACATACATGAAAAGAGTTGTAAAGGGTACATGAGCATTTGTCTACATCAATAACCCACTTCTTGTGATGGCCAAGATTAAACTGATTGAATCTTTGCGCAGCATAAAACGTATGGCCATTCGGTACAATTTTCTGAAAATCAAGACTATTACTTTTGGGCTCTATAGCCCTAAAGTCGATTTCAATTCAATTCAATTCAATTCATTTATTTTTCCTCTTTCAATCGTTCATATTTACAATGATGGTATATTTTAACATATTCACATATTTATATACATATAGATCAATTTGCACAATACAATACATTAAAAAATAAACATGAAATTGAAAGGGAAGGAGGGCCGACTAAAAAGCAGAGCTTGTAGGGTGTAAGCCCCCCTGTAAAAGTAATTATCATGAATTATCATTTTATGAGAAAACAAAACAAAAACAACAATAATAACAGTAACTGATTCAGTAATACAAAAAAAAATAACTTTTAAACGCAAAACATTGATAAATACATACATGTTTATAAAAAGAAATAATCAAAGTTGCATAAAGTCACACTACAAATTATATTTGATTGGGGAATGCAATAGCCTAGTAACTATTCAGAAGAAAGCTTTTAAGTCTCCTTTTGAAAATTTGTATCGAATTACACTGTATAATATCATTTGAAAGAGAATTCCACAGTTTTGGACCTGTAAAAACAAATGTCTTTTGTGCAAAAGATGTTCTATTTAATGGTAAATGAAAAGAGCTCGCCTGGCGAGTGAGGTAACTATGAATCGAATCATTTCTTACGAACATATCATTAAAAGGCAAAGGTAATTGTTTAGTGTTGAGCTTGTACATTAACTGTCCAAGCTGAAAAATATACAAGTCTTTAATTTTCAAAATGTTATTATTCAGAAAAAGATTATTCGTGTGTGCCCGGAAATCTGCATTATTAATAATACGAATCGCTCTTTTTTGTAATATAAAGAGTCTATTAATTTGGGAAGTTGCTGCACTGCCCCAGGCAATAAGTCCGTAATTCAAGTAAGGAAGAATAAGCGTAGAATACAAGGATAACATAATATAATGGGGTAGGAAGTGTCTTAATTTACTAAGGATACCAGTGTTGCGAGCAATGATTTTGCAGATATTGTCAGTGTGCGCTTTCCAAGATAGTTTTTCATCAATAACTAGCCCCAAAAATTTAGTTGTTCGGGCCCTTTGAATGACAGTACCATCAAAAATTATACAATTAGGCAAAGTTGCAACCTTATTACTAAATAGCATGTAACTAGTTTTGTCTAAGTTAAGTGACAGTTTGTTTGCTTTTATCCAATTTGCCACACTTTTAAGTTCGTTATTTAGTATTTGCGTCAATTGCTCTGGATCGCGATGTGACAAAAAAATATTTGAGTCGTCAGCAAAAAGTATAAATTGAAGCAGACAAGATGACCTCTCGATGTCGTTTATATAAATAATAAACAAAAGTGGGCCAAGAATACTTCCTTGCGGAACTCCGCAAAGGACAGGTTTACTTTCAGAGAAATTACCATTCAGCGAAACAAACTGGGAGCGCCCTTTAAGATAATTCTTGAACCACGTCAACGGTTTTCCCCTAATTCCATAGTGAGAAAGTTTGTAAAGAAGTACATCATGATCAACAGTATCAAATGCTTTAGAAAAATCTATGAACAAACCAACCGTATTAGAAGACTGATCGATAGCTTTGGCAACCGTTTGAACTAAAGAAAGTATGGCATGAGTAGTGCTACTCTTTTCTCGGAAGCCAAATTGAGTATCAGAGAGGATGTTGTGCTTTTTAAAGAAACTCATGGTCCGTATGTGGACCAACTTTTCAAGGATTTTAGACAAGGTTGTAAGCAATGAGATTGGTCTATAATTACTTGTTAATGTACTGTCACCCTTTTTGAAAATTGGGATTATTTTCGAAATTTTCATTGATTCTGGAATATGTCCAGATAATAATGACAAATTAAATATATAAACGAGAGGATCAACAATATAATTCATAGTTTTCTGTAAAAGGTTGTTATCAATTTCATCAAATCCTGCACTCTTATTTATTTTTAGGCCAGATATAATCTTAATTATCTCTTGTGGGTACGTAGGAGAGAAAAATATAGAACTTTCATTTCTCTCCCCCAAATAGTGGTGAAATGAACGGTACGTGGATGGTATGTGCCTAGCAAGATTAAAACCAACTTGAGAAAAATAATTGTTG